TCTAAAAGTGATCTGAAGAAAGGACAACATAGTGAGATTTCCAGTGTTGCAGGTGATAATAGACCTTAGGAAGTGGGAAGAAAAGAGCCAGGTGAGTTTCAATGCAGGCAGATACAGAAAACATTTGGGGAAGAGGGACTGAATTTTTCTCTACACATAAATACTTAGGAAGGTTCAGAAAATGGGAGGAGCCAATGGAGAAGGTTCTCTGAGAACAGAGCCCAAGGTGGCTGCTAAACCAACTCCCATGAAGCAATTTTTGGCAGCAGAATACTGGATTTGGTGCATTTTATCTGACAGGAAATTCTTGGGCTTCTTTTTGAAGTGAGCCTTCCCATTTCCCACTGCCTCTTACCCTCTCTAAATTTCTTTTTAGCTCCTTTGATTTTTCTTATAGCTGTGCCTCTAGTGTAGACAATTTTTAGAATAGAAATATTGCCAGTGTATCTCTCAAATAGGTCATGATATCCTAACATTCCAATCAATTCAGGAAAGTGAAGGACACAAAGACCACCAAAGCCAAGAGCGGAACAGAGCAGGCCAGGAGCTGAGATGGAGCTAAATGAGTGGAAGGATAAAGTAAGAAAGGTTGCCTGGAAGTGGGATGCTCTCTGGGGACCTTGTATTCATCTTTCATTCATTGAGTTCAGGCCCTAGTTTCTGGCCTGAACACATTCTCTCCAAATGGAGTTAAATCTGGTGCAGATTTTTCTTTTCATGGTCTTATCTCTGTATCGGCAAACTGACCCACATCCCATGTTATAGACAATCCAGAGAAAGACTTCTGGGTCTGGGGGTTGTCGTGAAGCTCTTTGTGCCAGAGGGTTTCCTCGAAAGGGCTGTCAGGGCTTGAGCAGACTGGGAGGAAGGTCATGGGCGTTTCAGAGCTGTCCGGGCAGGGAAGGAGACTGGGGTAGGCAGAGCCAGCTCTCGAGGCCAGCATGGAGCTGGCTGACGGATTCATAGCAGAAGCATGAGCAGAGGCTGGAAGAGCCAGGTTTGTTCATTAGCAGTCAGGCAAGCTTCTGGTTTGAAAACAAATGTTTTTCTTAAAAAACAAAAATGAGCCCCTATTGTAATTAGCCTTGTATTCCAGGAAGAAGGTGGAGAGGAGGAACTCAATGAAAAACATTCCTGAGGGAACCGAAAATACATGGGAAAGAGAATAATTTAGACTCCAGTAAACATTAAAGACATACAAATGAGGAGGGAGCGTCCCACAGAGTGACGCGTGTGTGGACCCAGGGAGAGCAGCCTTGGGGGTCAGGCTGTTCTGTTGAGGAGCCCCTGGAAATTCTCATTCTCCAGGCTTCACAACAGACCTGGGTTCTTCAACTTAATGGTGTCAGGTGAAGAGGGTGGAGGAGGGTAAGGAGAGGGGAGGAAAGAATGCCAGACGTAGGATCCTGGACATATTTCACACTCGATTTAGGTTCAGAGTCCCAAGGTGCCAGACCTCTGGGCTCACTGGCTCAACTAAAGTACCTCAGCCTTACTTTGCCTCACCAGGAACCCCTACTCCAGATTCCCGGCCTTGGAACTCCCCTGGGACCTTCTTGCAGCAAACAGATCCTTCATAGACTCAGTTTCATGGAAACAAAACAAAAGCTAAGATGAAGGAAAAAAAAAAGTCAGGCTCTTCCTTTCATACTTGTTGTCTTAGTTTTATTCTAATTTTCCTTAGTTTGTAGGCAAGAAAATGGAGTAAAAATTGTGGTTTGGGCTATTTTCAATTATTATCTCATAAAGGACTTATATCCAGAATATGTGTAGAACTTTTACAAATCTACAATCAAAAAATAATGAACTTTTAAAAAAAACCAATGAGCAAAAGACTTAAAAAGACACTTTACGAAAGGAGATATACAAATGGTCAATAAGCACATGAAAATGTTTTTGCCATCTTTAGTCATGAGGAAAATATAACTTAAAACCATAATGAGATATCACTTCACACCCACTGGCATGGCTAAAATTAAATTGACCGATGATGCCAAATGATGGGATATAGAGCAACTGGAACTTTAATATATTACTATTGGGAATGTGACATGTTATAGTCATTTTGATGAACTCTGACAATTTCTTATAAAGTTGAATATTCCACCGGTAGGTAATTACTCAAGACCAATGAAAACCAATGTGCACAGAAAGACTTGTATGAGAACTTTCATATTAATCTTGTTTATATTAGCCAAACACTGGAAACAACCCAGAAGTTCACTGGCAGGAGAATGGATAAAGACATTGTGGTTTATCTATACAATGGAATACTATTCAGCTGTAGCAAGGAATGAACTACCAATGCACACAGCAATATGGATGAATCTTAAGTACAGCATGTTGGACAAAAGAAGCCAAACATAAAAAAAATACATATTGTATGATTTCATTCATATGAAATTTAAGAACAGGCAAAATTACATCAATGATGAGAGAAATCAGAAAGTGGTACCTGGTTGTGGGTGGAGGGCAGGAACTGACTAGAAAGGGGCACCAGTAGACTCCCTAGAGTGACAGAAAAGCTCTATAGTTTGTTTTTGATGGTAGCTACATAGGCATATAGAATTGTCAAGAATTATAGAACTGAATGCTTAAAATATGTGTATTATGTATAAATTATACACTAAGTTTTAAAATACTGTAAGGAAAGAGATAGATCTAGTCCTATAAAGACTGTAAAGTCCTCTTCATCCTCTAAACCTGCAGTCCCCAACACCTGGTCCACGGACTGGTACTGGTCCGTGGCCTGTTAGGAACCAGGCTGCACAACAGGAAGTGAGTGGTGGGGGAGTGAGCAAAACTTCATCTGTATTTACAGCCACTCCCCATCTCTCACATCACTGCCTGAGCTCTGTCTCTTGTCAGATCAGCAGAGGCATTAGACCCTCACAGGAGCACCAGCCCCACTATAAACCACGTGTGAGGGATCCAGGTTGCATGCTCCTTATGAGAATCTAATACCTGATGATCTGAGGTGGAGCTTAGGCAGTGATGCTAGTGCTGGAGAGCAGCTGTATAAATATCAATTAGTTACGGGAAAACAAGCTCAGGGCTCCCACAAATTCTGCATTACAATAAGTAGTATAATTATTTCATTATACATTACAACATAATAATAATGGAAATGAAATACACAATAAATATAATGTGCTTGAATCATCCCCAAATCACTCACCCCCAGTCTGCAGAAAAATTGTCTTCCATGAAACCGATCCCTGATGCCAAAAAGGTTGGGGACCGCTGCTCTAAATGATCTCTTATAAATTATCTCTCTTATTCTCCTCTAGTTAGAGAATGAAGTACTTTTTAAAGATGAGGCTACCACAAAAACCTCCTTTGCCTGCTACCTGCCAGTCCCCAAGTCCCCCAGGACTTCCCACAATAAGTAGATACTGGGTTTTCCTGCTGGGCTCCGCAGATCCCTGAGTTGACTTGAAAAGATGTGGGGGCATGGAGTGAGAACCTGGGGCAGTGAGGATGGCATTTTCAAAGTTCCCCCATCTCTGCTTCAAATAGAACAACTACACTTTCATCTGTTTCTATTTTGCTTGAAGAAAGCTCTTACTATTAGATAAAAAATCAAATCCCATGACCCAGACAGCAGCACCTCGTGAGGGGCTGCTGGGCTTTCCCACCCCAGCAAGCATGGCCCCAGCATGGGACATAAGAGGACTACTCCCACTTGCCTCAGTCTGGTTCTGCTTCCCTTTGTCCCTGATGCTCCTGGAGCAGCAGTGTTTGGTAAGAAGGTTATGCTGCATGTGAGCTGGGATGAGACCGGCATAATGAAAACCCCTCAACCAGGGCTCCAGGGTATGTGCTTAGACTGCCTGGGCCATACTGCAAATGTGAGACCTGGGGTGACACTTCCACCTCCTCTCCTGGGAAAGAGGATGGCAGTGCCCATGCTACTGCCTTCACAAGGCTGCCATGGGGGCAGCACGAGATGACAGATCTGAAAACCACATTTTTATTAAAAGGTTTTAATTTTGATTCACATATCAGAGGGGATTATTTAATATCCAATTCAGTACTTCTACATTCCTACTCTGGGTGAAATCTCTGTGCAGGGATTGTAGAGGAAGTATAGGATTTAGTCTCTATTGGCAGAGAACTGAAGTAGACCAGGTGAAGTCATATGAGCTAAGACATGGAGCAATAAACAATCCGCAAGTTGATGTTAGGGCGATGTTTCTATTCATTACATGCTTCAGTTTTCATTAGAATCTTTGATGTCTTTCAGTTATAATCAATTGAATTTCTTGAGTTTGATTGAATTTCTAGAGGTATGCTATATATTTACACCTTGTTCAGTCACTGTTTCCAGGTATCAGGCTTGTAAAAGAGGGAAAGAATCCTGCACAATAGAACACAAAGGGATCGAGACCCCTGGGTTTGATGTACACCAGCTCTTTAACTGATGTAACCTTGGACCATTCACCAGGCCTCTCTAGCCCTCAGTTTCCGTTTCTGAAATAGACTCAGTACTTAATTTTTAATGACCACTACAATTACAAGATGTCCTTAAAACCACAGTGTGAGATGGTAGACAGTCTTTGCAGTCAGTAGGAACTGAGCTATGTCTCTATATCTGAAGCTTTGCCTCTCCCTAGCAGGATCAGTCAGTCCCTCTGTCTGAGTGAGGGTCAGCTTCCTCTTCTAAAAGGAGATCTCCACCATGTCTGCTTCACTGAGTTACTGTGGGGATTGAATGCCATGGAGTATGCAAAAACTGTATAAATCATAATTCATATATAAACATCTGCTGTTCCTTTGCTGTTGCTCTAGGCATTGAAACACACCAAGAGCACTTTTAAAGCCAAGTATATGTGGGTGCATGGCAGTGTTGCTTAAATATAGTCTAAGGGTTAAAGAGATGCGAAGCAGGGCCTAATCTGAGGGTGGGTCAGTGAGTAAGGCTCAGAATCGTGAGCTTCAGCCTACCAGTCTCTCGTGGACGCAGTGAGCCTGTAGTGATGAAGGTGGTTCCCTCGCAGGTGACAGCAGAGCTAGATGCCTGGAATGAGGACCTGCTCCGGCAGATGAATGACTTCAATACAGAGGATCTGACCCTGGCGGAGCAGCGGCTGCAGCGCCACACAGAGCGGAAGCTGGCCATGAACAACATGACCTTCGAGGTTGTCCAGCAGGGTCAGGACCTGCACCAGTACATCATGGAGGTCCAAGCCTCAGGTGGGTGGCCTCTCTCATTCTCCTGGGGGGAGATAAGGAAAACAAGAATGCCAGCTAGCCTCCAAGGAGCACTTCCCCCTTGTTTGTTCATTTCATTCCTATGCATACAAAGAATAAAGATTTTTACCCCCAGTTTAAAGAAAAAGAACCAGAAGCCATGAGACCTGGAATAGCTTGCCCATGGTTGCCCAGTTACGCTGCGGTGAAGATGGGAATGGGGCCAGGGTCTCCTTGTGCTGCGGAGAGAATGAGAGTGCCGATGATGGAAATTAGCACAGATTTTTTAAATATGGTGGCCTGGAAAAACAAACCAAAGCAGCCAGACATCGTGTGAACTGTGTTCAAGTGTGTAGCCGTCTCCCATTCTGCTCCCCGTCCTTGCCACCAGCACACTTTCTCCCGCCCATCCCCTGCTCCCCAGCCGTCTCCTTGTCTCCTATTCATGCTTCTCAGAGTCCTCAATTTTTTATCACTGATCTGTGGGTAAGTTAAGCAGTGCTGATAAAAATTTATGGCAAGGTCATAGAATTTTATAATTTCTCAGAAAAACATAGCTGAGTTACCCAGATTTAACTTCTTTTCCTGCTCAAGATTTATTCAAACTTTATCCAACAAATGAGTGAGCCCTTACTGTTATACCTGCCACTCCCCAAGATGTCGTTTGATGTCAGAACTGGAGAGAGCCATCTCCAGTTGAATCCTGAGTACAGCTAGTCCAGAAGAAAAGAAGTCACTTGTCTGGTCACATCCCAGTGGAGTGTCTTCTACCCTCCTACCTCTGTCCTTGCTGGTGTCAGTCCCTGCTCTCCAGGACAAAGAAGATAGCCGCCAAGGCCATCGACTCTTTAAAACACATTGGGGCCACAACCCTGCTGATCATGAAGGATATTAAAGCCAGGAGATTGTTGGGGGCCTTAGTAATCATGTGAAAGTTTAGGGTACTTTGGGTTTTGGTTTGTCTTTTATTTTTTTTGATGACCCAAAAGTGTAAATACCAGCATTCAAAGGAACTTCATTCCTAACCAGAGGAGAGACAATCTAGTAAATTCTGTTCATTTTTGTCAGCACAATCCTTCCTTGAATTTTCACTTATGCTTTGAACAGACTGCCTCTGAGAATCAGCCTATTCACAGGTGTGCAGCTTGCTCTTTGCACAGTCCCAGGAAGGGCTACTCACCTGCATCTGTCTGGGGATTTTTCAAAAAGTGACAATGCCCAGGCCACAGGCCCAGATATTCTGCTTTTAACTACCTCTGAATGGGATTTGGACAATAGCAGAAAGTTCTCAGGTGATTCAACAGTGCAGCCAGGGCTGAGAACCACCACTTCTTATGATAATTAAATCCCAGTAGCTGACATCTATGGAATGCCCTAGGACAGTGGATCTTAAAGTGGGGTCCCCAGATCAGCAGCATTAGCATCACCTGAGAACTTGCTTGAAATGCGAGTTTAAGAACCTAACCCTAGAACCTATCACATCAGCATCTCTTGGGGTGGACCCAGAAATCCATGCTTCTGGAGTCCTCCAGATGATTCTGATGCTCCACTGACCTAGGACATTTCTACTTAGCATGGTCCCTGTACCACAGCACCAGCTGATTAAAAATACAGAATCACCAGCTTTATGCCAGATCTGTGAATCTGAATCTGCATGTTAACAAATAGCCAGGTAAATTGTGTATACATTAAAATTTAGAAGCAGTGTTCTAGGATGTGGACTATACCTGTTCAGAGCCTTGGTAGGGCAGCAGGGCAACTACAATCCTTTCTCTATGGCTGAGAATCTTATCTGGATTCATAGTTTAGCCCTATGGCTTACCCTCACCATAGCTGGCTGTCCAGTTAAGACTGGGAACTGTGAGAGAATGCAGACACAGTATCGAGGGGAGAGGGTGTGCAGAGAAGCTGTGCAAGGCTGCTCATTCTTCATGCCTCAGAGTGGATGTGTCTAGCAGGAGAGAGAGTCTTGTCTGGCTAGAAACCTGTAGTCCTCACCAGGATGCTGACACGACCTTCAACAAACCAACCTCTGTCCCAAGAGCCAAGTATCCATGGTAACAGAAAGACTGCTGGGAGCTGGAAGCCCCTGAGGACTGCTTGTAACTGGGGGTGCTATGCTTGGCATCTACCTAAACCATGAGGGCTGAGTGGGTGACAACAGCCCCAGGCAGATGGGCTACCCACCCCCACAGTATCCTATACTAGAAATGAGCTTTGTCAAAAGAGGTTTGATTGCCTCTCCAGCCTTGTCTGCTGAGGCTGGCTGCTCCCCTGCTCCTACAACAGCTGGCTGTTCAGTCTGGCATAGCTCATGGGGCTTTGACAGGAATGAATGTGGGGTGTCTAGGAAGGCTCACTCTCTCTATGGCTGAATGCCTGGTCCTGCAGAGGAGTCATCTAGCTCATCTCTGAGCTTAGGGAAGGAGAGGGTAGAACCACACCAGAGCTAGAGGGTGAGGGTAGAGGTGGGGTGAAGGGTAGACCTGGGATGGGACCTGATCCCCAACCCCAACCCCACCCCTGCACCATGGCCAAGGAATACAAGACTTCAGGGACACAGGACTGAGGTAATGAATGGCTTGGGCATTTAACAATGTTTGTCTAATGGACTATATTTGGACTAAAGGTAAAATAAACTGTTATCTTAGAAAAAGAACAATTATCACAAATAAGACTTGTTGGTATTTAGCCCTCCATGTTAAATTAATTAAGGGTTTATGCTTTGATTTTATAGTAGCAAATGGAACTAGGAAATTTTATATGCTTATTTTTAAGCATGCAGTTTCTAAGATTGAGCCAGATTCTACTAAATCCCTTGAGTGTGCCACCAATCCTAACCAAAGCAGAAAGCCTTTGCTAATGTGAACATCAGCTTCAGGAATAGAGACAAATAGGAAGAATTTCTTAATTTGCTCATTGTTCTTTCCTCACTATAGAATTTTGTATTTGAGCCTTAAGTTGGGAGGTGGTAGGTTTTGCTGGAAAGAGCCAAACTAGGGAAAACATGCTAAGTGAAGTCAAGGTTCAGTTCCACCACCAATAAACAGTCTGACTTTGGAAGTCCCTTTTCTTTTTCTGTAGATACTAGTTTCTTCTTCTGTCCAGTGTGGCAGGTGGGCCTTGATTTCTAAAGCGCCCTCCAGTTATCACTTCCCATAATTCAGCCTAATTGCCTCATTGGCTGTGCCACAGGTCTTCCGATGAAATCTGGCCATGTGACTGTCACACTTGACCTTAGAAATGAGACAAGAGCTGTGTACCCTATGGATATGTTGCTTTTTGTGGTTTAATCAAAACATCGAGTTCTCCCTTTATGCAAGGTTTTTAAGTGAAAAATCCCGGAGTCTGTGGCCATGATCCTTAAAATTTACTGTGCCTGAGAAGAACCCAGCTCCAATGTTTAGAAATAAATAAATTCTTAAAATAAATTAAGTCTTTGGAGATCATTCTTCTCCTTGAGCATAGAGATGAGAATATAGATACGAGAGGAAATGGTGGGTTGAAATCCTGGCCACATTTCTTACCACTTAGTGTCCATGAATATGTTACTCAATCTCTCTAAACCTTGCCTTCCTCTGAAAAATGGTGATAATGAGAATACTTACCACATAGGGTGATTGTGAGGACACAGTGGAATCGCACAAGAGCATGGAAAAGGCTCGGAGAAGTTTGACAACTACTATATTGTTATACTCATATTCAAGCATATTCTGCTTTCTTTTGGCATTGTGTTCCCGCAGTTTCTCCAGCAGCATGAGGGCAGGATTCCTTTTTCCTTCTCTTTACATTTCCAGTGTCTAGCAGAGTGATTATGTCTTGTGCTTAGCAAGTTCTCAATAATGTTTGCTGAATTAGTTAAAACTTAACATCAGTATGGGTGGAGCAGATGTAGGTAAAATAATGTACCACAGATCTCTGGGCCCCAACCTCCGGGCCACAGCCTGTTAGGAAACAGGCCCCGCATCACTGCCTGAACTCCACACCACCTCCCACCCCGGTCCATAAAAAAATTGTCTTCCATGAAACCAGTCCCTGGTGTCAAAAAAGTTGGGGACCACTGCCACAAATAATCTTATTGGTGTCAAAAAGGGAAGAAAAAATGCGTATGTTTTTTTCAAATGAAAGATACTCTGGGGTTAATAGGAATGTCGACCTGGCGGGCTGAGAGGAGGGGGAAAGAAGCTTGATGTAAAACAATAGAGCTCAACCTGGCTGCATATTTAAAATCACCTGGGGAATGTCTTGAAAATACCAATGTCTGGGCCCCACTCCTCAGGGAGCCTTAGTTAATTAGTCTGGAGTGGGCCCAGTTTTTAAACAAACTTCCCAGGTGATTTTAAGGTACAGCCAGAGTTGAAAACACTGATCTAAAAACCTGATTAAAGGACTTGGTAATTTCTGAACCAGGTGTTATATAGAAGGAATGACACAGAAGGAGGAGTGGGGAGGGTAGGAGAAAAAGATATTCTCTGAGGCAGACACATATTTCAAGAACACACAACAGTTAAAAAAGCATATTACAAGAAGGAACAGCATAGCCAGAAATACCCAAATCCTACCCTAGACCACAGCCACCTTTCTTTGAGGAAGGGAAAATGGTAGCCCCAGCTGGCAGCAAAGGCAAGCAAACTAACATTATTATTAGCTGTGGCTTTTAGCCCCAAATAAACATCAGTGCAGAGCCTTCTGGTAACTGAATGTACCATAAGGAATCTCTGTTTCCCCAGGTTGCTGGTCATTGTACCATTCTATCCAGTGGTTCATAATCTTGGTTGCATGTTGGAATCACCCTGGGAGCTTTAAGACTAACTGGTGGCTGGATCTCAGCCACACAGATTCTGACGTTATTGGTCTAGGTGTGGCCAGGACATGGTGATTTTTAAAAATTTCTCCAGATGAATCTAATGTGAGCCAGGGTTAAGAGCACTGGTTTAACAGCATTCACACCACCGTAGTTTCCAATGATATACATTGAGCAAGTGCATAAACACCTGTCAGTAAAATTTTATATTTCATTCAAGCCATTCAGCTGTCCCGTGAGTAATCAAAAATATATTCATTGTAATTTCCTTAAAGGAAAGTAAAAAGTGGGAAAATGAATATTTTGACCTTAGTAGATGCCAGGCACTATATATACTCTATGTCTTTTAGTTCTCAACAACATCCCTGAGAAGTCATTGTTGTGACTCCCACTTCACAGGTGAGAAAACCTAGACTCAGAGAGTGTAGGGAGCCCAGAGTCTCACTGTTAACAGGTTGCAGAGCAAACCCAATCCTGTCCCTTCCCCAAAGCTCTCAGGTACTGTCGACCTCAGCTCTTCCCTAAAGAGGCTTGTTTATTCATTGATCAGGTACTTATTGGGCAATATATGAGTGAAACATTGTGGTAGGGCCTGAAAAGGCAGAAATGAATAAGACTGACATGGTCTTGGCTTCAGAGAGCCTGAGTTCGTGTGAGAACATGGACAAGTTAATGAGGAACCAACCTCAGTGGAAGCTTTCTGATGGGATATGAGCATGGAACGTTGCGAGGGCACATCAGAAAGAAAGCTCTACATGACTTTTTAAAGGGAGACTGACAAACTGTTTAATTACAAATATATTCCACTACATGATGGAAAGAGCAAATGTCTTTTTGCATTTCTGAGAACCCCTAAGAAAGACAGACAGGACTGTGATAGATTGAGAGCAGTAATGTCAACACTAGCAAACTCTACTTTCTGCTGATTGACAGATACTTACCAGCTGATGGGTTATAACTGGGACTCAATTTGATGTGTTTGGGGCAGTGGCAGGAGGTAGTTTCTGTCTTCCAAGTACAGCTGGGTGAGTCTTCATGTTCCTCCCATTCACCTCATCCACAGCGTGATGCATTCATTGGTGGAATGCAATAAGCATCATCTTCATCCATTTTATGTCTGTGTTCATCTCACATAAAACAGTATCAAACAAGTTGGATGGAAATGCAGGGCCTGAATCTCAGGGCAGGCTGGGAGCCTGTCCTGGGTGATGTCGTAAGCAGGTGGCTGGCCTCTTTGATAAGTTACCAGTCTCAGAGAGCCCCTTTGTGTGTGGTGTGGCAGGCTGAACCATGAGGTGCACATGGAAAGGTCCTTTGCCCGTGTCCACCATACTGAACCCTAGAGACACGTGCTGCAGTAAACCACACTGTGACTAGAAGTGAGGAAGAGCTTCTACCTATGCAGAGGGATCTTAAATTACATTTCCAGAAAGCAAACATAGGATCAGGGGTCATCCCACTATGCCAGGCCCTGCAGAGGTAGAAATCTTTGCATCAGTTTTTATTTCAGTCAAGGAGATGCTCTACCTCATCCCCTTGGTAATTGAAAATAGTAACTAAAGGGAGTTGCCTGCCAAAAGAACAAGCCGTTCTTTTCTCTGTCTCCCACAGATATTTCGGGAGCTGGGGCTTAGAATTATGAAACCAACAGAAAAAATAAACATGAAAAGATACTGAAATTATTACCATGTAGCACCAGAAAAAAATGTTCCCACTCTCCCATATTGTCCTTATATAAAACACTATTTTTACCTCCAGAAATGAATTTCCTTAGCATGTACAGACTTTCCTTATACTCCCCCAACTATATGCTGCAGGTGGGGTGGTGGTGGTGATGATTAATTTCTGATGGTATGAGTCTGAGTGATGGGGAAGTCTCCCGAAGGGGATTTATTTTTTAGGTGGCCATGTGTTGAGATTGGTGGGCTTCTTTGGGTTTGATCCCCGGGGAAGTGCACTACCCATTGGCGACTTATCTGCCGGGCTTTTGAATCTGAGCCCCATTGTTGATTGGGACCCTATTCTTTAACATCTCAGACAAGGTGTCAGCATCAGGACCACAGATGTGCTGGGCCATAGATTACAGGATGAGAAGCCAGGGAAAGGATTTGGACAGAACTAAGAAGCTGTGGAGTCAGGCAGACTCAGGAATCAGAAAAGGCAAGCAATCCAGAGGTGGGATTTCACCAAAGCCAAGGATCTGAGCAAGGCTGAATCAGAAATAGGTAGACAATCAGAATCAGGAAACGTGGGTCACTTGCATCAGGTCAGAGACAAGAACCAAGAGGGCAAGATTGTTAGAGGGCAGAAGGTTGAGATTTTGAGGCAAGAGTAAGGAACCAGGAAAGCCACAGGACTAAGGAGCAGTGATCTATATTTATATGTGTATATGACAGATAGTTTAAATGCATCACGGAGGTAGGCAGCTTATGAAGTAGGTAGATATGTAAAATCTTATTTACATATGATGAAGATGAAGCTTCTGAGAGCCTAGACAACTTGCTCCAGTTGAGGATTCCAGTGTAGGAGTATTCCAAAGCTAGTACACTTTCCATGTAGTCTTTGAGAGCTAAGTAAGGTCAGATTCAAGTCACTAGCAGAGAGAGGGACTTTGATAAATAAGGCAGTTCCTTTGCTATGTCTCAGAGTTTGTTAATGACCCTTTCTGAAGTAGAAATCTATTTCAGGAAGGCTACCTTGGGCCTGCTGGTGATAATGTATTAAGGTAAATAGGAGAACCGGAGTGGTGAAGAGAGAAAGTGTGTACACATCTACGCTTGTGAATAGGGAGGAGTATACAGAAATAGTAAGGGTGGTAGACAAGGAGTGGCGCCACAGCTTCTGGCTGGCAGATATTGACTCAAAGCTCCCATTATAAGTCAGGTGGTTGACAGTTTATTAATGTTGAGTGGTTTGTCCATAAACATTGGGAACACTTGTCAGTGACTGACTGGGCTTACTGACTGCTGTGAATCAGTAGAAAAACGATACACAAACTCTCCTTGTGTGGGCACAGCTCTAACATGATTGGTTTTTCTAAATGGATAAGCACTCAGTAACCCTGTGGCATTGCTGGGGTGTGTTTATTAGGTGTGTTTGCCTGTGTTTGATAAATATATGAGAGGCAGCATGTATTTCTAAGAGTTACTTTTTTAGAGGACATAGTTGGCTGATAGAGTCACCACCGCCCAGCTACTCTAATCAGAGTGGACTTACCATCTAAAGATAAACTATATCTGACAAGCTAAAAGAAAGTGCCTTTGGCAGTTCTTAAGACAGAGCCTTATTGGTTTGGTATTGTACTTTCCAACATGATCCAGAGGATTGCTTGTGAATATTCTGGGTGTTGGCAAATCCTCTAGCAGGAAGTGCTAGGTGCTGTCTTGTCTAAGGATAGACTTCCGGAGAACCTCCTCTCTCTTTTTATCAATTCCAGTTGATAATAAGGAGCTGATCATCTGTTGAAAAGTAAATCTCAGGCAAAGGATCAGTTAATACAGAAGAGATGGTATGCTTTGAGCATCCCAAACAAAGGCCCATTATGGTGATCTGTTTAAATTCTCAGAGGAATATGTAGAGTTTGGGAGTGTATTGATAATGGCTATTTCCAAATTCCAGTTTTCTTATGTATATTAAAGGAAATGTAGTCTTCACAATACTACCTGGTTTTTAATTGTTTGCATTTTTTTTAAATCAGGTATTGAGTTGATCTGTGAAAAAGACATTGATCTGGCAGCCCAGGTGCAAGAGCTACTGGAGTTTCTCCATGAGAAGCAGCATGAACTGGAGCTCAACGCAGAACAGACCCATAAGCGGCTAGAGCAGTGCCTCCAACTACGGCACCTCCAGGCCGAGGTCAAACAGGTGAGCCTGCCCCTTCCACCTCCAGCCTGGGCTTCTCAGTCAGCTGAGCCAGGCCTGCGACCTGCTGCTGGTATGGGGTTAAGCATACAGAGCCACAGGTGTACCACTTTAAGTAACCACACTATACATAGTAACTCAGAATATACATAAGTTAAAGACTAGCTGTATTCATGTCTGAAAGCTTGGCTGCTATAATATAAGAGACCCAATGGTAACATAGGTCAAACTAAAAGTGCATTATTTCTTTCTCACATAATAATCCATTCCAGAGCTTTTCCAAGTTGTCTTTAGTCACTGAATCTATTCTCTTTTTATCCTCAATCCTTTCAAGAAATCCATAGGAAATACAAATCCTTTATCAATAAACATATTCAGGCTTTATTTAGAGCCAGGTTGATTAATTTGGGGCACCTGTGTGCCTAGTACTATTAACACATAGTTAATAGTCAATGAGTAGTAGAAATGACTATCATTATTTCTAATGTGTGTGTGGTTATTATAAGAAATTTTTTTGCTATATTAAAGTTGATTTTAAAAAGAAAAAAGAATTCTTATCTGAATGAGGCATTATGCTAGGCATTTTATTGAAGGACATACCTAAATCTCTAGGAACCTCTGAGAACAAACACACAATGACCAATATCACATTTAAAAAAATGTTACATATTTATGTTATGAACAGACTAAGAAGGTAATTGTTATAATTACCTATTGGGACAAAGAGGGGATTGAAGAAGTAAAAGTATAATAATAGTTCCATTTACTGAGTGCTATTTGTCTGTTACATACATCTTGAGCAATCTTTACAACCATTGTAGATATTATCCCAGTTTTACAGGTAAGTCCCCTAAGGCTTAGAGCGGTTACTCTGAGGAAAGTACACACTCCCCCAGGTCTAGGAGGGGCAGGTGGCATAGCACATCAGTGGTTGCCCCTTTCTGCTCCACATTCTCCCAAACAACCCTACTCCCTGCTTCCTCTAGGCAGAGCCCACCTAAATTATCCTCAGCAGAGAAACATCTTTCTCTTTTAAACATTTTTTTTCATATGTACAGTGGCTGCTAGAGTTTTGTGGGGTTCACCATGCTGGAGCTTTTAAATTTAAGTTTATTAATTTATCACGAGTGCCAAAATGTTGTATTTTGTTTAACTATTGCTTAATCCCTTATATTCTAGCTATTCCTTGCTAATGCCTATACCTTAGTTATTATATTAGTATTATAGTGAGCAAAATTACCTTCTGCACTCCCCTTCTCTTCCAATCAGTGCTCAGCCTAAGCCCACACATGCCATGCTAAAGATCTGTATTCGGTGCAGATTAAATCACTGAGCCCCAAGCAAGGCCATATTACAGTGCTGCCATCCTGGTTGTTTTCTGCTTAATTGTGCTGGGATCATACCTGGATCTCTAGAGAGAAATGTTATTCATGGGGACATGGTAGAAATCCTAGCAGGCCCAGAGCAGTAATGGGCATACATAATATGATTGTACTTTCTTTTCATATGAGAAACCCTTTCTCATTTACGATCTCATTTTAAGATAACAGGCTCATTGGAAAATGTGGTGTTATGCTTACTTTACAAATGAACAAACTGAGGCACCACAGGATTAGTGCTCCCTGAGGCCTCTGGGCTAGTTAGCTGAAACTTGAGCCCAAGCCTTCTAAGTCCAAGATCCTCCAGTTTGCCTCTACTGGCCCCCACTCCTACCATGGGTTTCCAAGAGAAATAGAAAGAACCCCTCCAACCTTGCATTACGTGAAATAGGAGAGGCACAGAAAGACAAATATTGCATGTCCTCACTCATAAGTGTGAGCTAAAAGAGTGATAGAAGTTATAGACATAGAGAGTAAAATAGTGGTTACTAGAGAAGGGGGAGGAGGAGATAGGAAGGGGTTGGTTAATGGGTACAAAATTACAGTTAGGAAGAATAAGTTCTTATATTCTACAGCACAGCAGGGTGACTATAGTTAACGACAATTTATTGCAAACAATTTATTGCAACAATTTATTTCAAAATAGCTAGAAGAAAGGAATTTGAATGTTTCTAACACAAAGAAATGATAAAGATTTGAAGTGATGGTGGTCCCAATTACCCTGATTTGATCACTACATATACATGTATTGAAATACCACATGTACCCTATAAATATGTACAATTATTATGTATCAATTAAAAATTAAAAATAAAATTAAAAGAAGAACAGAGTCTTAGGTTTTCCTGGCCTTGGCAGCACCGTGTCTGGGAAAATAGAGCAGGCATGGCCTAGGCTTGATAGAACAGGTGGCACCTGCCTGTCATTGGAGTCCTCTGATATTCATACTTGGTTGTTTCCACCAGTGAAAGATGACAGGAATGATCATCTAAACAAAACAGATAACAGAATCATTCCTATTTGACTTTGAGATGAAATATATTGTTTGCTTTTGTTCCTGGTTTTTTATTTATATTTTTCTCCAGCATCAGTAGTAGAATCAGCTCCTAAATTCTCTTTGTCTTGGCTGATATGAAAATGGAAATGAATTTTCATTCTCCAAGTATACAAGATGGGGACTGGGATGATGATAGTTTGACAAATGGGGAGGTACATTGTCTATATATAAATAATCCAGGGTACACTAATGTCTATATGCATTCCCATTTATAATTTCATGAGTTGGAGGACAGAAAGAATTTTTCTGTGGGGGTGGGAAAATTCCTTATTGCTACCACGATGAGAATGACATACAGTAGGATTGTAGTTCAAGACTGTACAAGATTGTTCAAGTCAGACTCTCAGAAAACCTACAAAACCCTTTGCAAAGGGCAGTAGCCCTTCGAGGAGCCAAGGGATTGCTGCTTGGTTAAGCCACCATGCCTCATTAGACAGACTTGTTTTCCTTGTCAATGTAGGCTCTTTCTTTAGGGAGTCCTCTGATCCAGTTTCAGAGAAGGCATTTGTGTTTGATGGAAATTGGTGGAGCAGGAAATATTGATTTGGAAGCTGTTGACACTTGGAAGAAAGGAGTTAATTTAGATGTCAGTATTGATCAGTGAGGCTAAATTTAGACACTAGCTAGCTTGAGAATTTCTCTTTTGAATATACTCTTAAAAAAGAAAAGAAAAAGGACACTTAATTGAAATGACATTAATAGGGACAGAAAGGGAGAGAACAATAATATATTATGATACAGCTGTGTTGTTAGAGCATGTAGATTAAAGATCTAGATTTGACATGTGGCCATCAGATCCTTAAATGTAGTTTTACCAAAATTATATTAAACTGAAGCTTTAAAGAGCAGGGAAGGCACACAGATATGTGACTAAAAATTATTTTCAAGTATTCAGAACAAATAAAATTGTTTAGTGCAACTGATTTTCTTTCTGAGGGATTACATAGGACTTTATGTCTAAAATGATGTTCCAAACACCTCTAGAAAAATGATGGACCTTGAAGGGAAACCAGTACCCTGGGTATAGCCCATGGTCCAGGTCTGTAGACCACCCAGATGCCAATTACCCTCCAAACCCCAAAGAATGTTCTGATTGCTACCGGAAAAATTACTACCCTGGCAAAGACGACCTCACACCTACTAGATAATTTGGAAAGATTTGGAAAACCTACTTAATCACCATAAATGAATTCCCATGTGTATTCCTGCAAAGCAGTTAATTTAGCACAAAATAAGCTAAAATGGATCTATAAAGTGTTGTGTCTCTAAGACATGGGAAAGGAAATCAAACTTACTTGACTACTAAAGACGTTGGCTTAATTTGCTTTTTTGGATCAAATGCTGGCCAAAATTTGTATATGATCAAGATGGACATTCAAGACAAAGGATAAAATATTAGCCTATCCTCATACACCTGTGGATAATATTGTGTTCAGTTCAGTTCTGCTGACCACATATAAAAATTAGAAAGGAGTTGGAATAAATCCAAAAGAGAGGCAACCAAAGGGACAAGTACTATCGTTTTGTTTCAAAATGGAGATAATTAAGAAGACATATGGCCACAGTCTCTGAAACCATGAAGGGTGAACATGTACAATCTCACAGATCATGGATTTTTAGAACTAAGGAACACTGGAAATATGACAGGTTTCCTGCTACCATCTGAGGAGCTGATTATTTTTCCTGTGGTTAGAGTTTTAGAAATAAATGTGTCTTGTGGTAAGTCATCTATAATAGCAGTCAGTCCTTAGAGTCAGTGGCCTTGAGTGCAACCTCATAGCTTTATTGTAGGCACAACCTTCAGAACACGGCCATCTACAGATAGCTTCCCCAGTCACGTATTTGCAAAACCCAGTTTGTCCAGCTTAAATGGCATCATCATTTGTGGACATCCATGTCCAGTTATTCAGATCCACTCTTCCCCTGACTTGGGCTTATCTTAGCTTCCTTGGCCTGAGGAAGCAATTCTCTATTTTCAGTTCCTCCTCTAAGCTCAGACTAAGCTGAACTGTTGGCCCAGCTCTTAAGTCCCCAAGCAGTGGTATTCTTTTAGTCCTTCATTTCTACTTAACTAAGTTTCTCTGACATCCTATGGATATAGAGGCACTCTTTGAATTTTGAAAGAGGTGTGGATTCTTAGAGCTGGAAATGACCTTTAAAAACCATCTAACTTTTTGGATAAATTGTTGCCTAAAATGATTAGTCAATGTGAATGTTGATTTTATGGTTTGAAAAATACTTTTACATTCATTCTTTCATTTTATTTTTCCCATCATTCTATTTTTCCCCTGTACCTTAGGCAAGGAAAGTGTTTGCATTTTACAGATGAGAAAACTGAGCTGTAGAGAAATTAAATGATGTTGCCAAGGTCACACAGCTTAAGATTAGTAAAACCAGCATTTTCTCATTTTAACTAATGATATTTCTTCTACTGCCTTGCACACATTTGGATGGTCACAGAAAAGTAACCACTTTTATGAACCAGGAAGATAAAAGATATCAGTAATGGAAAATTATACCAACAAGAGTTATCAGTGATCAAAGTACAATGAAAAATGATGATAAAACAGCCAAGCAATCTATATCACAACAGAATATGCAGAATAAGCTCATACAAATTCTGGAATAGCTGGGTGCAGTGGCTCATGCCTGTAATCCCAGCACTTTGGGGGGCTGAGGCGAGAGGATCACTTGAGGCCACAAGTCCGAGACCAGCCTGAACAATATAGATAGACCTCATCTCTACAGAATAAAAAATTAAAAAAAAATAACTTAGCCAGGTGTGGTGGTGCATGCCTGTAGTCCCAACTGCTGGAGTGGCTGAGGCAGGAGGATCACTTGAGCTTAGGAGTTGGAGGCTGCAGTGAGCCATGATTTGTATCACTGCACTCCAGCCTGGGTGACAGAGTGAGACCCTGTCTTCAAAAAACAACAACAAAAAAACCCCAAAACAAATTCTGAAATAAAGTTTAATATTTCTAAATTTTTCCTCTTCTCTTTGGGAAAGGTATAAATGAAGGATCATAGTATTACCGAGGTTTGCTCCAAACTAAAAATCACCCACCAACACAATCATAGTCATCAGAATTTACGTTTTACAGTCTGTTATGTCAACCCTGAAATGCAGAAGGGAACGATGCAATTATTCTTATTTTATAGATGAGAAAACTAAGGCTCAGAGGAGTTAAGTGATTTTGCCAGGTAAGTAATATAGGCAGATATTCTGACTTAAAATTTTATGCTCTTTCTATCCTATGCCAGTTCTACTTGCAGGACTGACTCATTCATAGGGATCAGTCCCATCCTGGATGTAAGCCATGGATATAAACTACCATGCATTTTTATCTTCTAAAATCAAATCTCCCACTCTAACGTCCTGGAATGCCTTTATAAATGGCATTTGGGAACTAAAAATGAACAAGGATGGCATGATTTAATAAAAAAATTAGGCACCGAAGCCCATGATATGTCTACATGGAACAGCTGATAAGTGGAGATCCCCATCACCATAGCTCTAACCGATGTTTCCAGTTGGCTTAAACTGGAGAGAAAAATATTCTGCAAGTCTCAGCAGGCCCAAAGGAAATCAGAATGTTGCACAAGCATTGATTTGTGATGCATATGGATAAAATGATTCTCTGACACCCGCAAATGAATCTCCAAGACCAAGTAGAATGCAATGAATCATAGCAGAGGGGCATTGTGAGCTCCATTTCTCCAAGACATAAAGTATTTAGACATGTAATCTATGAACACATCCACCCAAACTTAAAGGCAATTTTATGAAATCATTAGCACCTCCAGCCAGCCAGCCACAGTCCACCAGTGACAACAGGGATTTCACATGAACACTCTGAGCAGTTATTTCCTGCAACTAATTGCTTTACAGACTGGTACATCCACAATCTGCCAGCCTGGACATGAATTAATATCTCAATCTAAATAGCCCAGCTTCAGGGCGATTTATGCTCCAATGTTATCTATGTACAATAAGGCATCAGTCATTTTCTGCCCAGGGATGAAATTTGAGAGATGCCTGTGAGAGCTAAGGAGCAAGAGACAGGGCTTAGTAGTGTTTTCTGATTGTTCAACATGAGGACGTTGAGGGGAGAAAAATCTGAAAGCAAATCTGAAACAGATTGTGGTGTCTTCTCCTTTGGCATGCAGTAACAGATGGACGGTATTTACTGATCTTGAAATTTCAGAAGAATTTTTATTTCCTCTCCAAGCAAACTCTCAAACTCCCTAATAAAGAAAATATTTGGCAATGTTCTGGTGACCAGACACCAGGTAGGCTTTCAGAGCCTAACCTTCTAGTTGGATTATTTGTGCCAACTCTATTAGCTGGATAATTGCCACATCTCTGTTTCACCTACAACTGTCTAGACAGTATCACCTGTTTCTTGTTTTATCCTAATAGTCCCTGGCTGAGTTTTCTTTCCATGAGGACTCCTAAGGTCATATAGAAATTGTATTCAGCCTAGCCATAGCCTCTAAATAATTTAAGTCAATTATAACTTACTCTCCCCTTTTTTGGGGGGGATGATCCAATGTATGGATTATTCATGCTATTTTGCTTGTTTTCTTTCTCCTTTATACTTTTTTTTGGGTTGTTTACCTACTGAAGCTCAAACCTGTCTACTCTTGGCTATTTTGCAAGGTATGGGAGGTTGGACCCACTGCTCATGTGTGACCTGGGTATTCTCCATTACTTTGAAAATATTACTACACCACACCCATTGTGTGCAAGGTACTGTGCTAGGTATTATTAATAGGTGAGATTAAAATATGACTAATCTATCACCCCAGACTTTAGGAAGTTTGTGTTCTAAGGGGGAGAGGAACATAGGTTGAAATAACTGAACCAGGCAGCCTGTGGTGAGTGCCATAAAGGTGGTGCATACAAAATGGAATGGTTGCACCAGATGAGGAAGAGATTGTTTCTAATGGGAGTAATTAGGTACAGGAGATTCCAATAAGTTGTCATTACTTGAACTGGGCCTTTAAAACAAGAAAAGGATCCCAACAGATGTAATTTATTTACTTATGCCATCTTATGCTCCAGAAGGAACTTTAGACATACAGATGACCAGATTAAGTAATGATTAAATTAAGTGGGTGAGGAAATTGGGCCCAAGGAGTGATAAGGGGAGGAAAGAAGATATGGAGCTGGTAGTGGAGTTGGCACACAAAATAAGTACGTTATGGCACAGGATGCTTGGTAAGATTGGGGAGATGACCATTTTAATTATCCAGACCCCTCCTGTCCTCTCTCCAACAGAAGGAGAAGGATAGCGAGCTCTCTGACTGAAATACCCATGAGAAAGGCCACAGCTCTGGGGAAGCTGCAGAAAGCCACTCACCTGTGTGTTTATCCCGACTCCCTAGGTCCTGGGATGGATCCGCAATGGAGAGTCAATGCTCAACGCCAGCCTGGTCAATGCTAGCTCTTTGTCGGAAGCAGAGCAGCTGCAGCGGGAACACGAGCAGTTCCAACTGGCCATCGAGGTAACACCCAAATCTGGCTGCACTGTCCTCCCTTCCCCTTTCTGCTCTGTGCCTCAGGCAGGATTCCCTGAGGTGTGGGCCTTCCTTCAGGTGGTGAAGTCCTTACTCTTTCTAGAGGAATGGCCCAGGGAGCCTCCTTATTACCCAGGAGCTGATGGGGAAGCAAATGCAGGGATTCATCCCCCGAGGAGGCTACTAGAAGACAAGTATCACACCACAGATAGAATCTTTGTTGCTCATCAGTACCTTCAACCTTTAAGGCCAGTGGTACATTGAGATTTTTCATACATTCTAGACATGTACCATATGGGGAAATGTAAAGCTAACAGGTTAGAAGTCACTTCCAGTTGAAGATCACTGAGAATTCAGGATAAACCAATGCAAAAGTCATTAGTAAATTAGGATCCTATTTTTAAACACTTGGTTTACATGTAATGCTTAGATACTGTCATCAGGGTCTGCCTTTTAACAAGGGTAATGAGCGTTGGAGCAGATTGCACCAGATAGTTTACCTCACTGAGAATAGTTGTTCAGTAATACTAGAAGAAGGCACATTCAAAGAATAAACTATAACCAGGCCAGATGCGGTAGCTTACGCTTGTAATTCTAGCACTCTGGGAGGCCTAGGCGGAAGGATCCCTTGAGGTCAGGAGTTAGAGACCGACCTGAGCAAGAGTGAGACCCCGTCTCTACTAAAAATAGAAAAAAAAATTAGCCAGTCAACTAAAAATAGAAACAAAAAATTAGCCAGGCATGATGGCTCGTGCCTGTAGTCGCAGCTACTCAGGAGACTGAGGCAGGAGGATCACTTGAGCCTAGGTGTTTGAGGTTGCTGTGAGCTAGGCCGATGCCACCGTACTCACTCTAGCCCAGGCAACAAAGCAAGACTCAGTCCCAAAAAATATAAGATAAATGCAACCAGAAGAAATTCACTAATAGGGACTTTTTAAAAGGCTATTTAAAAATAAGTCTTCATTTATGATAACCTAATATAAATTTTGTCTTGCTTTAAATATCCTTGCTTTAATTATCCTTTCTACTAGGACATTGTCCTTCCCAAAGAGACTTGAACTGATTACCCTAGAGTGGTGTGGGGAAAAGAGTAAGAAATGGGACATGGGAAGTATATTAAAAATAAAATAAGTTCAGTACCAATGGGAAAAGAGATAAAGAGTGAAAACTTAAAAGACACTCATTACTTGTTTACTATAGAATTCAACCCACTTAGGAGATGTAAGAAATGCAAAGGTGTTATCTTCTAAAAACAAAAAAGATTGTTAATGAGAATTTTCTATGACGATGGCAAAATAATAAAATTTTAACTGTTTGTGCCTATGTCTTTTTATGCAGTAATCCAAACAAATCCTAGCCATTTTCAAACCAGTATTAATTGAATTCAACCATTTAATTTTCCAGAAACCATCTTGGATGTATAAACGTAGTATTAAGATGCTTGATATCTTCTTAGGAACCATTACTAGTACTACAATCTGGATTTGAGATTTAAAAATAAACTATATATTCAGAGCAGCACAATAGACATTGGAGACTCAGAAGGAGGAGCATGGAAAGGGGATAAGTAACAAAAAATTGCTTATTGGGTACAACGCACACTATTCAGGTGATGAGTTCATTACTACATAATTCATCTATATAACAAAAAAAATTGTACCCCTTAAATCTATGGAAATGAAAAAAAAACTGGCAAATTTCAGAAGTAATAATCATGCTCTAATGTCAAGGGAAGGCTAAATAAACGGTGATTATCTAAAAAATAAAATCTTAAAAAAACTGTGTATTGCAAACACAGTATGAGCAATCATTTTCTTTTCTTTTTTTAATAGAGATGGGGTCTTGCTCTTGCTCAGGCTGGTTTCAATTCCCCCGCCTCGGGCTAGGATTATAGGCATGAGCCACCATGCCCGGCCTGAGCAATCATTTTCTAAGAAAGAATTAACTACAGGAGATAAGTTTTGTGGTCATCAGCTGTCTCTATTGAAGTTTACAGACACGCCCAAATATGACAGTGTTAGGACCTATTCATTATAAAGGAAAAGTCAGGATTGGGATTATAATCAAGACTCAGGGACACAGTGGTCAAGTTCCCAAAGTCATAGATAGTAGTGAAGAGAATGATGGTTGGGCCATCAGATGAGAGGCATGGCCAAAGTTATGAGGGATGCTAAGCAGAAAGATGACAGCTCTTGGCCATACCTTCTCTTTGTCTTGAACGAGGTTTACACACCCTGTCTGGTAATTAAATTTCTAGTCCCTTAATCAAATGTTGGGCAAGTAAAATCAAATGTCATGACACACTTGAGCATCTCAATGAACTTGTGAGAAAGAATGGGCAAATGTATTCGCAGTGCTATTGAGATAACTAATTTCAATATGTCTGTATATGCAATATTTATTAACTTGGATTAGAGGCTGTTGCATCCTTACAGAATAGAGGCTCACTAGCTACAAACATCTCTTAATCAGTTCTGGTTTCTATATGGGTAAAACTTGATGAGATATTCTTGGAGCTGATGTTGAGATACAGGCCACTTCTATGTGTCTGTAGTCTCAAGAGGGCATGGCAGAGCAGATAAGATTTCCAGAAGATCTTGGGAATGGACAGTAGGGAGGGTCTGCAGCATAGCTAGAATAATGAAGAGAATAGAACCAAAATTTCAACATATGCTCCTTCTCTAGGTAGCCTGTGCCTCTCTTTAAATGTGTCAGTTTAGGACAGGTTCTGCATCAGGAGGAAAATATGCCAGGGGGGATTCGAGTAATTTTAAAGGGAGTGAAAGTAGTCTTGGTTGGCTTAACTCATTTTGACAGTGTTATTGGAACCTTTACAGTGATTGTGGATGGGCAGCATAATTTGACTTCTTGGACCCTAAGAAGGAACCCTGAGTTCCATAAGAGAAAATAAAATAGCTATAAGTAGGATAATCATATAATTTATTGCTTAAATGAGACAGTTTTAAGATTGGAGGGAATTATTAATAACTAAGCCAGAAAAACAGGTACTAAAACTGTCATAGGCAAACCAGGATATCTGCTAACATTAGCTTGGACATCCTCATCAGGCTGCAAGTTTTTGGTCTCCCCAAGGAAGGTCAGATTTTGACCTGAAGTAGCCTTGGTTTCAGGAAAACTCCCCTAGAGCCATTCAGGATGGAAAACAGTACACAGCATGTAGAAGAAGCCAAGCTTTATCAAGCAAACTTAGATAATTATTTGTTAGTATCCAGGATGTGGCTGATGTATCTTCAGGAACTGTGAACTTCACAGAGACAAGCTAAATTTCAAAATCTATTTTTATTTGAAATCCTCTTATGCATTTTAAGCATAAGCATTATGCCAGAAGAAGTAGTTAAAACTGGATAATAAATTCAGTTGATTCAGTTCCATTTTCTTCTGTGTATTCCTACTAAATATTAATGTCCTTGATAATCCATGTCTTAAAGATATAGCACTCAATAGGATTAGATAATGGGGACTGGAAATAAATGCAAAATAATGATTTGAGCTTAGCAGAGCAAAGATTATGTCACATGGATAAGAGTTTATCATTTAGGAAATTAAAGGGGGAAGGAGCTCCCAGGACTATTAGATGATAATGAGTTTCAAAGTAAGAGAGAGAATTTATTACATAGCATAAATTATGGGAAAATCAAGGTTACTCCTCCACTCTCATAGAAAAAGACATAATAACAGGTTTATGATAACAATTATATGCTGGTTTCACATATTGAGAAGAGGCCAGATAATTATCATAATCACTAATGTTCATTTGGTTAACCCTTCCTTCAAATGAGATATAGATACAGTTCTAATTGCTAGAGATAAAATGATGGGGTCTGATATAGTGGGAAAAACATAGGTTTAGGAATAGGTCAAATCTGAGTCTTATTCCTGGTTTCATCACTTCTTTGGTTCTAAGTGATGAAACCAGTGACTTTGGGCAAGTCACTTAACCAGCTGATACTTAGTTTCTTAATCTGTGAAATGGGAATGATAATATCCAACTTGTAATAATATTGGGAGAACTAGAAAACATACGCTTATGCACAGTGCTCAGCACTATATACAAAATGTACCCTCAGAAAAATTACAGCTATTTAAATCATTTTTCAAACCCTCCTTACCTTGAGAGTTTCACTAAGTAAGGAAAATCAGCCAAGTGTTAAATGAGTCACATGGGAGTTCAGAAGAAGGAGGTTTTCAATGGGTCTCAGACTGTCTGAAAAGGCTTCATTAAAGGAGGATAGACTTGAGCTGAGTCTCAAAGGAAAGCTGGAATGTAAAGAGAGAAGGACTCAGGGCATTTGTTAAAGGCAGGAAAAATGAAGGTAGCAAAAGCAAGAAAGTGCGTGGTGTATTTTCAAAGCGTTTTTGTAAGGAAGTAGTATGTGATCAAGTCATAGAAGTGGTTGGAGCCGCATTGTGAGGGGCTTTAATTACAGCCTCTAAAGTTTGGACTGAATGTTATAGCAATGGGGAAACCATGGAAGGCTTGAATTCAGAGAAGGGAGACATATTTATGGCATAAAATGAGAATTTTAGAGCTGGAAAAGATGTTAGAAGTCACTTAATGCAAGCACTTCCTATTACAGAAAATTAAATTAATCTGTTAGAAATGTAACAGATGAATTTGATGGATTAGAAATGGAAGGTAAGAAGACTAGCAGTCTGTGTATGAAGTGGTGAGAACTGGGCTAGGGCTAGGGAGTGGGGAGCAGCGGGCAAGAATGACGTCAAGATTGCAATCCTAGGAGACAGGAAGAAGGAGGGCACCAACAGAAGTGACAAATTATCATGGGAAACTGGTCTTAAAGAGGGGAGGAGTTTAGTTTCAGCTGTGAAACTTCAAGGGCTATCGGGCAGGAGGTGGAGGCTCTAATAGAACAGTAAAGCCCTTCCATTCACTGGCAAGGGCCCTCCTCTCTCTAAGAAGATCACTTTTACTTAGACTGCATCCTTGTAGTAGGCTAACATGGGACAGCTAGATCGATTGAATCAGTGCTGCTCACTAGGGTGAGAGGTGTCAGGCACCTGAAGACAAAGGGTCAGATACAGTAGATGTAGACTGGGAGTCATCTGCTAAGAGAAGATAATAGAAGCTGAGGGAATAGATGAGAGCTCTGCAGATGTGAACAAACAACAAGAACTGGCGTCAGTTCCTCTACATTTAGGAGACAGGAAAAGAAAATGGGGCCAATAAGTAAAACAGAGAAAGAAAACCAGAGATTTGTGGTGGGTCATTTCTGCCCATCAGTTTACTTTCTTTAGCTGCATTTAGCCAGTTGGGAAGCTAGAAGCTGATACGGTCATCAGGATTGAGGGCTCATTCAGTGGGAAGACAAGGGAATGAGGGGTCTAGGTTGCTAGAGGTCGTGCTAACATAGCTAACACTTCATACAGATCCAGGAAAGAGTGAGCAGGCTGAACGGTGGGGAACAGACTAAGGAAAATCAGTAGGAGTGTGCAGACTGCAGTCTGGGATGAGGATGAGGGGCCAGTGTGCTGGGAATCGGGGAGGCACAGGGGACACAGGCAGTGCTGAATAGGTTCACTCTCGGGGACTGTCCCAGAACTGCTGCCCAAGAAGGGCAGAAAATGATTCTGGAGTAAATTACTGGGTTCTAGCTGTCCCATTTCACTGCCAGCTGAGCTCTACCTTCCTAAAAGTGCAAAGGCCAAATTAGTACTACACCGTTACCCTGGAATGATCCCAGCAGTTGAGGTTGGAATGATATTAGCTCTTTTAAGTCAGTGGGGCTGTAATATTCTCTTGTGGATCATCCACATCAATACTTTGTCACAGTAAATTTTAATCCCATTTGGTTCTCTGCCTGCCACCCAGTTCTCCCCATCTCCTACAGTTAGTGTGAATGCGGAGAATGCACATTTAGCCTGAATCAGAAAGCACTGAGAAACCTTTTCTACTAGATAGATAGATAGATAGATAGATAGATAGATAGATAGATAGATAGATAGATAGATAGATAGATACATGAACTCCCATGCACATGGGTGCACACACAGGCTCATCCACACAAATATATTTCCTAAAGGCAAACATAAATAATGTGAGGATTGGGGATTGTGTGTTGGGGTGAATTATCTACTGTACTGCTCTACTCCCTTGGTGAAGTAATTAAGGGATGATGTGAGAAGTTACTCTTTAGTTTTATTTACCTGCCAGATTTATTCCTTCAACTGAAATCCTTTTCATCTGATTATTAATGTTTAAAATGGTTTCACTGTTAGTTGAGATTTGTGTTACACAGAGTTTTTTTTAATGTGCTGTGTTTACTTGCTTTATAAAATGGGACTGCAGTAGTAACCTCCTTTGCAAATTCAATAATAAGCCATTTCATGACTAGATTTGTAAAGGCAATATAACTTGTGAACTAATTAGACAGCAGATTAATACACAATGGCTGTTTCTCTACCACAGAAACTGAAATGTCCTTAAAGTCTAGAATGATGCCAATAGAAAGAAAGGAATGGGGGCAGGAGTTAGGGTCCTGAGAGAGTAATGAAAATGTGTGATATTCTTTTTTTAAAAATATGCTTTAAAAACAATAATGTATTAATCGTCATGACAAAATGGATCAGTCATTTAAAGCTCTTTAACTTTTCTGCATCTTTCCACTCACGCCTCACTCCACCCCCTCCCATACCACACCTGGGTTGTTCCCACGGACTCTCTCTCCTCCCCTTGTGCCCAGTCCCTCTTTCATGCCACTTCCTTGCAGAAGACGCACCAGAGCGCCCTGCAGGTACAGCAGAAGGCCGAGGCACTGCTCCAGGCCGGCCACTACGATGCTGACGCCATCCGGGAGTGTGCAGAGAAGGTGGCCCTCCACTGGCAGCAGCTCATGCTGAAGATGGAAGACCGGCTAAAACTGGTCAATGCCTCCGTGGCCTTTTACAAAACTTCTGAGCAGGTGAGGGAGAGGGCTGTGGGGGGTGTGGGGTACAGGTTGACGGGGGCTTGTTTTCTGCCTCATGGTGTAAACCTACAGTACCTATTTGAGCAAGAAGCCAGTCCTCTGAGTACTAACCTTTGAGGGCAGAAGAACGGTCTGTGGAAACATCACAGTTGCTTCCTTATAATCCTTTGCATTTGAGCACTGGACCATGTGATTTGTTTCTCATAAATTTCCCAAACTCATCTTTGTGGAGGTGTTGAAGTAGAAGTTAGGCATATGCTGAATGCTAGATTTGAATGGTCTATTAGTCAGCTATTTCCACAATAATGCTGTGTAACAAATTATCCCAAAATTCAGTGATTTAAAACAATAAGCATTTATTTTTTGCTTAAGTATCTGGGATTTGATTGATGTTGGCTGAACTTAGTAGAACTAGGCTGCAGATTGGAGCCAGATCTACTCCTATGCCTTTCAAATTTTTGCTTGTGTCACATTCTCTAACATCTCATTGGCCAAAACAACCCACATGGCCAAACCAACATCAGTGAGGCAGCAATGCCTCCTGTGAAGGTTGGGAGACGAGAATAAATATTTGGTGAACAATAATCAAATCACCACAATTAGGCATTGGGCACTGCTTGAAGAACATACGACTCTTTCATTCATGGGGCTCCCAATCTAATGGAGGAAATACAGCTCACTGTCATGGGGAAGCAGGAGCCTAACTGGTAAGAGGGTGCTGCTGTTGGAGAAGAGGCAGGAAATTGAACAGCAGGGCTATAAAGATGCAGATAACATTACCATTACATCTATACAGCAATATGCACAAGGGCTAAGAGGATTCTTTGTATGATTTGGATGCTGTTAGGGAATTATTTTCATGAAATAGAGGTTTCAAGCAGGAGTAATTTTATTCCATATAAAATAGTTTCCTCATTTGAATTGCTCCCTGGTAGAAATAAATCAGAGGATCAATCTTCTCTGGGTGACTTACAGAGACCAAGGGAACGTCTGTATGGGAGCAAATATAACATGCCCATCAGCGGGCTCTGCACCAGTGTGATAGTCTCCACACCTGCTCTCAGTCCTCCTTTCTGTTATTGCAGAGAGATGATGCCTTCGATGGCTACAGAAGTGGACACAGCAGACTAAGATGATAATGAAATTCCCCAGCCGATCTATAGATTCAACACAATCTCAGTCAAATCCCAGCAAGCTTTTTTTGTAGAAATTGATACTGATTCTAAGATTTATATGGAAATAAAATGCAAAGTATGCAAATGCAAAGGCCTAGAATAGCCAAAGCAATCTTTAAAAGGAAGAACAAAGTTGGAGAAGTTATATAACCTGATTTAAAGTCTTACTCTAAAGCTGTGGTGATCAAGACAGAATAGTACTGGTGTGAGAATAAACACAATGAAACAGAATGGAGGTTATAGGGTAGGCTCATTTATACAGACAGTTGATTTTTTTTTTTTTTTTTTTTTTTGAGACAGAGTCTCACTCTGTTGCCCTGGCTAGAGTGCCATGGCGTCAGCATAGCTCACAGCAACCTTAAACTCCTGGGCTCAAGCGATCCTCCTGCCTCAGCCTCCTGAGTAGCTGGGACTACAGGCGTGCGCCACCATGCCCAGCTAATTTTTTCTATATTTTTAGTTGGCCAATTAATTTCTTTCTATTTTTAGTAGAGATGGGGTCTCCTGTGCTTGCTCAGGCTGGTTTCGAACTCCTGAGATCAAAGGATCCGCCCACCTCGGCCTCCCAGAGTGCTAGGATTACAGGTGTGAGCCACCGCACCCGGCCCAGACAGTTGATTTTTGACAAGGCAATTCAATGAGTGAAGGAAAGTCTTTCTAACAAAGGATGCCAGACAACTGAATATCCATGTGGAAAAAAATGAGGCTTAATCCTTGTCTAATATCATACACACATTTTAATTTGAGATGGATCAAGATGGCGAAGGGGACAGAATGCTGGAGTAATAGTCAGGAAATTTAGCCCTCAGCGGACCTTGCTGAAGGTTACTTTATTCTGCTGGATTTCTGTTTCCTTGCCCTTTAAAGCATTTATACTTAATAATCTTTTCATTTTTTTCTAACTCACATTGTTTATAAATCCAGTTCTATTATGGGACAGATCTCAAATACTCTTTTTCTTAGAGTTTTTGCATGTCTATAACCTGGTTTGTCTCCAGACATGTGCCTGCACATTTTCATGCCTTGCATAAACAGAGGTGTGGTGCTAGAGATGGGACTAGAGGAGTCACCCAGAGTTCAGGGACAGACCTCAGGACATAGGAAGCATGTCTGGCCATCAGTATGTTCTGCCTGGGACATCTTTCAGCTCAGTTCATGACTCAATGAGTGTCTTATCCAAAGGCAAATCTTTTATCAAGAGAGACTATTTTCTCAGAGAAGGTCAAGGATAGTTATAGTTGTTCTCACCTGCTGTCATATCCAAGAAAGTAACCAAAGTTTATTGAAGAACAGTATAGTAGTCTCTCTAAATTTGCAGAATATTGGTTCCAGGACCCTCCATGGATACCAAATCTTTGAATGTTCAAGTCTCTAATATAAAATGCCATAGTACTTACATATAACCTATGCATGTTCTCCCATATGCTTTAAATCATCTCTACATTGCTTAGAATACCTAATACAATGTAAATGGTGTGTAAATAATTTTTATACTCTATTGTTTTTATTTATATTATTATTATTTTTCCTGGATATTTTCCATCTGTGGTTGGTTAAATACACGGTTGCAGAATCCACAGATAAGGAGGGCTGACAGTGTAGGAATGTGAGTTTCTACTTTCTGCATCCTCCTCTAGCCCTGATACTAGGCTGCCCTGGGTTTCTCATTGTGGAACCCAACCTAACTTTCCCTCTAAAACCCCTTCAAAATGCTTCTGCTTTCATCTGAGTTCATTTATAAGGCCAATTAGCATAGCCTCTAAGCATTTTTAGAACTGAAAAGCTACTCAACTATCTTTTAGGTTAACCTATGTTTGTCTTCCGCCTGTAGAAAATGTGTATTTTATAATAGATGGTCATTTATGGCCCATAAATTATGTGACATAGGCAACTTCCTCCTTTACCTCTGCCTAAGGCTATGTACCATGGGAAAAATAGAGATGATTGATCAGGTCATGTATCTTCTCCAAATCTCATTTCCTATTCTGCCTAATTCACAGAGTTATTGCGAGGTTATAATATAATATGTACAAAATGCTTTCAAACCCCCAAAATACTAGTCTTGCTTCCATTCTTACTCTACATTCTATTCCTAGGTGATGTTATCAACCTTCGTAAGAAGATTATTCCAAAATCCATATCTCCATTCATAATGTCTCCTGAGTTTCAGACACAGGGCTGTCATTGCCTCCTGGACTTCTCTTAGATGTCCCAGGAGTCCTGAACATCAAATGAAAAATGTCACCTGTGTAGAGTTCTGAAGGCTAAAGGTCTTCAGAGAATAAATACTTCCCAGATGATTCATTTACTGAGTCTTTTCTTCCATGACTCGTTAGGTGTGTAGTGTCCTGGAGAGCTTAGAGCAAGAGTACCGGAGAGATGAGGACTGGTGTGGTGGACGAGATAAACTGGGGCCTGCAGCAGAGATCGACCACGTCATTCCACTCATCAGCAAACATTTGGAACAAAAGGAGGCCTTCCTTAAGGTCAGAGCATGTCATCATGCAAAGGCTCAGTCTCTGGCCTTGTTCTTTCATCTGCCTTTTCTTGCTCTCTTGCTCGCTCGCTCGCTCGTGCTCTCTCGCTCTCTCTCTCTCGCTCTCTCTCTCTCTCTCTCACACACACACACACACACACACACACATACACACACTGCTTCATATGGGCTTCCCATCCCCCTAGATTTTTTAACCTCTTATCTAAAGAGGGAGGAGTTTGTAGAGAAGATGTTGACTGGCTAATTTGAATGGTTTAAAGGTTACACTTCATGCACTTATTTCTCTCTTAGCATCTCTTAAAACCAGGCAATTAGGAGACACCGTTACTATTGCTACCATGTTTGAATATCCTGATAGCCCATGGTTGTTGTTAATTGAGAAAAATACATGCTTTCACTCAGTTATGTTCAGTTTATAAAATTATTTTTTGATTGAAAGATATAAGCCTAGCTATAAAACACTGTTAAAAGAAATCTTTTATAATGGATGGTGCAAAATTTAGGGCAAAAATTAAAAAAGATATTGACACCCTGTTTCTTTATCAATCTAGCGATTATGAATTACCAATAAGTGTGATGCTGTCTATTCTCTATAGTAAGAGAGGAACACCGTGTTTGGGGTTTGGGGTAAGGCCCTGGCTTCCTGGGGAGGAAGCACAGTCTTGCTCCACACAGACTTTCAGCTGGTGTGGGAAGTCCTCCAGGGCCCCCTTCCTCCAGCCTTTGATCTTCCCTCCGACAGTCCTCTGTGTTCAAGCTTATCTAAGGCTCTGTTTGCTCTCACATTTCTCGCTTTCATGCTCTGTTTCCTCTCAGGTTTCTGAAAGTACAAAAGAGAATTTTTATACCCTAACATGTTGCCACTGATTTTATTCAATTCTGTAATGAACTGCCTTTCTTTTATTAGAGATTTTCTTTCTTTGACCACCTCTTTGAGTTATTATTATTCTGTTTTTAAGCTGGCCTCTCCCTACTGTCCTCCCATCTGTCTGGCCTCTGCACCTGTATTGGTCACAACCCTTAGTAATCAGGTCTTACTAAAAAGATTAAATAGAAATTCTTCTGTACGGGGCTTATGATGATTTTAAAAGTCTTCCCTATTACCAAACTTTAAAATGAAACAATTTAAGTATAGCACATAAAAATTTTAAATCGAGGTATAAAGATATTTCTTCATAAAATTAAGAAAATATTTATTTGGAAGAATTAAAAAACCCTTCTGGTCTGTTGTTTTCCATATGTTCCTAAAACCATAGTGAGAAACTCCCTATCGCTGTGGGAATGATATGCCCAACAAATAGAGTATCGAGTTCTCCATTTGTGTTTATTGTGTGGATCTATCTGAGATTCCTTAGCTGTAGACCACCGTCAGGCTGTCCCATTCATGAGCCTCAGCGTGCATGGACTCACCAGAGCTCTCAGAAGCCTTTATTTCTACTTTTTATATGACCAGAAAATTACATAATTTTAAAATAATATTTATATTAATTATATACTATATTAGGTAATTATATGATTTTTAATTACATAATTTATACGATCAGAGGCTAAGTATAAGAAGGTTTTAAATTTTAATAATTTTGTCTAGAGATAAATTAATTCTGAAAACTATGCATTAAAAACTACTATGTTAGCATGTATTACTTCATAACTAGAAAAAACTGCTTTTTAGAGAAATCCAAAAAATATGTGGGTTTGAGAGAAACTAGAAAAGACTTTGCTGATGGTCCTGGCTTCTAGATCTGAGTTACTCCCCAACTCCTTCTCCTCCTGGGCCTCAGTCTTGTCCACTGGTACAACAAGGAGAATGAGACCTACTCTCCACCACCTGGTAAAACAGGGGCTGGTATAACAGCTCTTAGTCCTTTATGTAGATCAGTATTTCCCAGCAATAGGATGCTTGTTAGTGTTATTTAGGTAAGGCAGACTTGATGGACAAATAAGTTTCAAAAATGATGACAATTCCCATTTAGATTTGGAATGTATAGTTAATAGATATGTTTACCTGATATTTACATGTTCAAGTCTAAATCACACTAATGTTACAATGGGTTTGTGTTCCCTGGGCTTACACCAGTGTTCCTGTAAGAGGCATTCCAGTGACAGAGGGAAACCAGCCTGAGAGCCAATGTTAGTAATGTCCTTCAACATACAGGTAGTTGAATGATGGCTGATTCTAATTTTTAACTGTGACGGAAAGGGAAAGGAGGCATAGGGAATGGTTCTTCACTTGACAAAAGGAAGGCTCAGAAGGGTGAACCTCCTAAATTGGAGGTCACATCCATGACCTCCAGAGCTCTTCTCCTTCTGGATTCTCCAGAATGCTCATCACCATCCACTCCTCGTGCCTCCTACAAAGTGGAAGGAGGGCACCCCTTCCCCAGTGTCTTGGATGCCATACACCTGCCGGGGCTAGGGACCTCACACCTTTGTCTCTCTCAGGCCTGCACCCTCGCACGGCGGAATGCTGAGGTGTTTCTCAAGTACATCCACAGGAACAACGTCAGCATGCCCAGTGTCGCCAGCCATACTCGGGGTCCTGAGCAACAAGTGAAAGGTCAGTGAGAATCTGCTAGGCCACAAGACACTCCAGCAACATGGATTAGAGGCCTGCCCCTCCCTGTCATGCACTGCATACCTACTCTCCATGCAAGCTCAACTCCTCTGATGCTTCCCCTTACAGAAGAAAATGTATGATGTGGGGTGGGGTGGGTAGTAGTGATTCAAGATTAGTTTTATAATGTGCTTCAAGATCTGAAATGGAAAAACAAGGGTGAAATTTTCCCAAGCTTTTTTATTTATCTTAGAGTCTAGGGCAGCACTGCCTAATAGAATTTTCTGAAATAATGGAAATTGCCTATATCCATAACACAGTAACCACTAGTTATATGTAGCTATAGCAACTGAGGAACTGAATTTTTACTTTTATTTAATATTAATTAATTTAAATGTAAATAGCCAAATGTGGCTCATGGCTAACATATTAAACAGTGCAGGACTATGTTATCTTATAGCCTGGGAATCATAAAACCAAATTCTAACCCTGGATTTGCCATTTATTGCTTAAGGCTTTTAAAACTTTAATTTTCTTGTTTAAAAATGAGGGGGGTGTCTAGTCTCTTGCTACTCAAAATGTCCCCTGACCAGCAGCACTGACATCACTTGGGAGGAACACAGAATCTCAGGCTATACCCAAACCTACCAAGTCAGAACCTGCATTTTGGCAAGAACCCCCTCCCATCCCACCAACCAGGTGATTTGTGTGCATGTAAAATTTAGATAAGTATTAGTCTAGATAATCTCTGATATCTCTCTGAATTCTATAAAGTCTATGATAGTATGAAAAATATATAACCTTTTAAAATTGCTTGTTATCTGACCATATTCAGCTTAAATTATCTGTGGAATTACTCTGACCATGCAGAAATTAGCCTTTGAGTAGGCTAAGAGTTTAACAAATGTCATTTTACCAAGGCAGAGAGATCCAATCCTGGTGCCTGAGGCTAGGGAGGGAACCTAAGCTGACTTGCAGTGAAAGTTGAGACAGGCTTGGAGATGCCATGGGGTTATAGGGTTGGGGACATGGTCTGCTTTAGGAAGGGCTTCCCTCACTGCTCAGAGAACACAAGAGTTGGAAAGGACAGAGGCCACTGGAAAGAATGAAACTTAGGAATCAAAGTTCCTACAGAGAGGAGGAAGCAGGATTTCTTTTCCAGATGTGCTATTCAATTTGCAGTCGAGAGACCTGTCGGCGGCTGGCATTATGTCACCTTCTCCTTCCAGCACATTTCAAAGGATATTTCTAACTTCCACATGCAAGCAGGAGCTTGGGTGAGGCCAGCTGCCTGCTGAGAGACCACACACCCCACCTACACCTCTGTCTGTTGAAGGGTGACAAGCACCCAGAGAGAGCAGGAGATGACTGCATCTTCTTGGGGACAAGGCCAGGTTGCTGCCCATATATTAGCTTTCAAGAAGGGAGAAAAGGAATCCTTAAAGTCTTTAGGATTTTTGCCTGATCTGGGTTGGTTCTTTCAGCTACACCATAGAGCGAGCTGCAATGAGCAAAACCCTAAGAAGCATAAAGATTACAGGAAACAGGTTCTCATTCCATCCTTGCCTGGTTGAAGCTTCCACCTGAGCAGACCTACAATCCCTTATATATCAGTTTCCTTTCAGTGCTGCCTAGACTTAAAGCTGGTGCCACATATTTTTGGTTTTTGTTATGAGAGAAACTACTCCTGCATAACAACCAAAAATTCAATGGTGTCCACCTGTAAGCATTTATTGTTTAAGTGGCTATGCATTGGCTGGGGATCAGCTATCTCAGCTGCGTGTCTAGCTGGCTGGGTTCATGCATGGCAGGTAAGGTTCTTGTCTGCTCTGTGTGTATCCATTCTGGGCCCTGTGTTGAAGGAGCAGCAGTTATCCAGGAGACGTTCTTATAATGGTTATGGCAGTGGTACAAGGAGCAAGGTCAAGCCCATCAGCACATTCCAGACCCCTGCTTGTGTCATATCTATTAACAACCCATTTGCCAAAGCAAGTCATGTGGCCAAGGCAGAGGTCACTGAGGATATGAGGTAGTATACGTTACCTCTTTGGGAGGGAACTAAGAAGTTACATGATAAAGGCATACATACAGGGAAGGGTGGTGATTGGGGCCCATGCAAGCTCTAAATTTAAGGCAAGAGACAGATTCTTTTCTTAGCCATACCTCTGGTGGGGGATGGGGAGAAGGGGTATGAAAAATACATAAAATCAACAAAAACTTCCAAGTGCAGACACTGCGCTTTGGGTTGTGCCATCTTTGTAAAGCATAGTAACTTGACTTTATAGCCCTAGTAATGTGGGAGACCGGGATGACCAAGGACTCAGGCTCTGAAACCAGGCCTGGCCTAAATCTGAGCTCTACCTGTTCTTGTCTGAATGACACTAAGCAATTTACCTTTCCTAAGTTTTCTCTAAACCTCACTTTCCTCATCTGTAAAATGGGGATAATAATGGTGCATTCATCATGTGGTGTTATAATTATGCACCTGTCACACAGTGAGTGCTTAAGAAATATCAATTATTCATATCAATATTTAGTATTTGTTAATATCTAATATAGTTGGCAGGAAGCAAGAGGAAGACATAATAAAATAACTTTGATTGCTTCCAGCATAGAATATACCATTTAAAACACTTAAGAAGTCTATCCATGTAGCCAGCTGCTCCTGGAACAACAGAAGCAGTAGGAAGGGAAATCACATGGACTGAATACTTACCATGGCCCACTTGTGGTGCTCCATGCCTTGTGTATGTCTTCTTGTTTAACATCATTAGAGGTAATTTGAGAACAACTTTAAGCTTTTCTTGTGGTCAAATCCAAAGCCCCATGGAAGTCTGAGTCTAGAAATAACATGTAGACATAATTCCAGCACAACTTTCCCGTGCCCACTCTTTAGAAGTATTAAAATTGAGGCTCTGCTGTTAAAGTTCTTTGTGCACAACCTCTTGTGCAAGGCTGAGAGCACGGCTCATGATGTGGGTTATCTAGAGAGTGACACCAGCCTCACTCCACATTCATCTCCTGCCCTCTTCTAGCAAGTCCTCAAAAGTGACTGAGAATCTTATCAGAGACCGTCCATGCCCATTAGACTCTGGGGGCCAACTGAGTTAGTACTGTTTTATGGAATGACACTTCCCAGGGTCTCTTACAACCAAGGACTAATTTTGGTGTGAAGAGGATCAGGGTCATTTGTAAGTCACTGGTGCCATATTCTGCCCCCTTAATTAATGGAACCCCCATTAACAGGCTCTCCCCTAGTCTCCCCGACCTTGCTCCCTTCTGGGAAATTTTCTCTGTACCCAGCATTTTCTCCCTTTCTTCTGATGCTGGATAAGTGCCACAGGGAGGCTTGAAGTCACAGTGACCTGGCACCCAGGTCGTGGGGCTGAGATGGTTGGTTGGGTTTGTGCAGAGCCTCCCTGTGACCAGCACCCCTCTCCTCTGCCCACAGCCATCTTGAGTGAGCTCTTACAGAGGGAGAATCGCGTCCTGCACTTCTGGACCTTGAAGAAGCGGCGGTTAGACCAATGCCAGCAATATGTGGTGTTTGAGCGCAGCGCTAAGCAGGTATGTCCAGAGCTTTCCCTGGCTTTGTCTCAGGTCTGGGAAATATACAGAGGCCCAGATGACCAAGGCTCAAGACAGTCCAGGGGAAAGCCACAGCAGCAAGCAGATTGGAGGTGGGAGGTGGGGATGAAAAGAGGAAAAAGAACAAGTTGAAGCCTGTCAGCAACTCAGCATTTATCCAGGGTTTGGTGCCAGGAGCTGTGAGGAGATGCTAGGTCCCTCACTATGTCCCTAATGCACAGATGATAGTGGGCCTGGCCTAAAAGTGTCCCCAGTCTACTGGAGGAGACTCTTTGCTAGTGGGATGTTCATAGTCAGGGGAGGGCTCATTCATAAAAACAACCTCAGAGCTACATACCGATGGAACCATGCCCACATTTCCATAAACCTTCACTGTTGTACGGCACGTTTCCCTATTGACAGCTCCCTTTTGGGGGACTTGGTGGGTTGTTTCCTCCCATAGGCACTGGACTGGATCCAAGAAACAGGTGAATTTTACCTCTCAACACATACCTCTACTGGAGAGACCACAGAGGAGACTCAGGAACTGCTGAAAGAATATGGGGAATTCAGGGTGCCCGCTAAGGTAGGAAGCATCCCAAACCCCTCCCCAAATGCACCCAGCACTCCCCATTCTGGCCAACTTCACATTACAGAAGCAAGAGCAGCCCCTGTAAGCAGAAAGGCTTGGCCATAGTGGCAAGGGGGAGAGTGTGTTTAGTATTGTCTTTGGAACCTGAATACCCAAAGAATTGCAGCTGTTAGGCAGAGCAGCAGTATGCAGGAAGTCAACTGCTATACAGTGTGCTTCCAAATACTCATCTTCATGCTCCATGTTTTGGAATCTGCTGTATTCTTTCAGACCAAATAAGGCAAAGGGGTATGTGCATTCAAAATGTGCATGTATGCGTGAACACCTGCACATATCCACATATTCTTAAAATTTGAATGGCTTCTGAAGTCCACTGTATGGGAAGGACCAATGACTATCTGTGAGTTCACAAAGCAGGTGAGCATCTTATTTCCTAAGCTATTTCCACCTGGCCTCAGACCTGCTAATGAGCCAGGCTGGGTCTCTGGGGAGCAAAATAGGCACTGGTGCACATATCCCTGACACCTCCGTTCACCCTGAAGGGGCAGGGAACACTATAGTAGGAAGAAATCTGTTTTTTACCTGATTTCACAGCCAGGGTTTGGTCCAAGGACCCTTGGGTTTGGACGAAAATCTTATCTGTCTCAGCTCCCTGTTTGTAGTATCCTCATCCCTCACCCTGGGTTCCTTGCCGTGTAGAAGCCTTTCTTGGCATCACTGTTGTACACAGCAGATGCTCTTCCCAGGTTGAGAGCTGCTTTGGTGGGGGCTAAGAGGAGAACATATTAATGCCCCATCCTATCCAGAGATTCCTCTGACACTACAGCCTGTGTTCCTGTATGTAGTTTGGTGTGACAAAATTAGGCACTTTGCCCCATTCCTGAGCTGATATTTCAGAAATGGTTTATCTACTTTATAAGTGCTATGCTATAAACTCAATATTGGGGAGCCTTACCCTGCATGTGCATCCTTGTGAGCTTTGGGCCTTTTCACCCAATGTGAAAAGCTGGGAGCTCAGATAAGATACTCATTTCAGTACCAGCTAGAGCAAACAGCACAAAGAAGGCGGCAGATGTACTGAACCCTTTTAAAATCCAAATGAAAATGGCTTCTGAATTAACCAGTTTGAGTCTTTCTGCCCCTCTCTAAATAGTGTCAATAATGAACCACTGATAGGTGGAATAAGTATCAGATCTATTGGTGGTTCCTATCTATATAGGATGGATCACAGCGGATGCCTAGAACTTCTCAGGATCAGAATTTGTCCATAACCAAAGCAGAAATGTGAAGAATTATTCAGTCAATATAATTCAGCCTTCCTTTACAACCTTTTTCATATCTTTCTCCTCCTTTCCATTCACATTGTTACCCCCTGGGGCTATAGTCGCTTCCTAATTGGGTTCCGTGCTTTAGGTCTTTCCCTCCTTCCAATCCATGCTCTCCATTGCTGTTCATTTTTAAAACACTGCTTTGGTAGTTACCACCCAGCTCAAGAATTTAGATTCCCCAATACCTTCAGCTTAACACTCCACAGCTGCTACAACTGTGCCACCCTGCCTCCCCAGCTTTATCTTCAATTATTCTTTTATGCAGGTTTTATGCTCCAGCTAAATGGATGTATCTTCTTACCCTCTGAAAGATACATCATATACTTCTGTGCCTCTGTGCCTTTTCCATACCATTTCTCTGCTTAGAATATCCTTTTCTTCCTTCGAGTTTGTGCTTTTTATTTATTTTTATCTAAAAAAAATTTTAGAGTCTAACTCTGTTGCCCAGGCTAGGGTGCAGTGGCATCATCATAGCTCACTGCAACCTCCAACTCCTTGGCTAAAGCAATCCTCCCACCTCAGCCTCCCAAAGTACTAGTATTACAGACATGAGCCACTGGACCCTCATTTGTACTTTTTAAAAGGAGCTCACCTTTCCACTCCAGTGCCACCTCTCCTATGTTCCTGCCTACATGCCAGGATATGATCTGTCCCAGCCCTACTCTACAGCCCTTGCCTATATAACCTGTAAGGCACCTGGCATGGACCATCTGTTCTTTGGTAATCTGTGTGCAGTGTTATCTCTTATATGAGACAGGAAGATCCTGAAGGAGAAGAGCCACCCTTTATTCATCCTGTCTTCCCCAGGTTACCTGACACTATCTTGTGCATTGAAAGAAGGCCATAACCATTTGGGAACATAAAAAATAGGAAGTTGGGTAGATTTCAGCAACCCCCCAATCTATATTTAATATGGTTCTTTTACTTTGGCTCTCTATGTCCTCTCTCTCTCTCTCTCCCGACTTAACTATTTCTGCCCCACTCCACTCCCACTTCCCAGAGACAAGCCCCTTCTAATTAGCCATCTTTGGTTTCAATCTTTATAACCAACAAAATGAATTTGAAAAGGAAACTGAATTGACCTTGAACCACAAGACAGTAAATATGGTGGCCCTTATGATTGAATAGAGCAGTAGAGTAAATTGAATCATTATACTCCCAAGAAATAGATCAAGTAGAAGAAACACTGAATATAAAATGATGCTGTCTATATAAAAATACACTCGCAAGTGTAAGAATAAAAATGAGATAAAAATAGTTTGGGTGGGGATAAAAGGAGAACAAAATTTTCATGTCGTGGTCTGTCTATGGACAATCCTATTAGAAGACTACAATGATATTTTTCTACTGTGAGTTTCAAAGTGTATAAGGGGTCAAGGCGCAATGATGGAAAGAACTCTATTTCTTCTAAAAGCAAAACATATTTTTAGATTCTTTTGTTTTTCTTTTTTTTGCAATTCAGTGGTTTTTACTATAAATCACTAGGTTGTGTAACCATCGCCACTGTCTAGTTCCAGAACATTTTCACCACCTCAGAAAGAAACCCCATCCCATTAGCAGTCACATCCCAGTCCCCTTCCCCTCAGCCTCTGGTAACCACTAATCTACTTTCTGTCTCTATAGATTTCATACAAAACTAACATACAATATGTAGTCTTTTGTGACTGGCTTCTTTCCTTTAGCATGTTTTCAGGATTCAACCATGTGTAGCATGTGTCAGTACTTCATATCTTTGTAGGGATGAATAACATTTCATTGTATGGACATACCACTTTCTGTTTATCATTCATTAGTTGATGGACATTTGGGTTGTTTCCAGCTTTTAGCCAAAAGCTAGAATAATGTTTCTATAAAAATTTACGTACAAGTTTTGGTGTGAACGTGTTTTCAGTTCTCTTATGTATATATTTGGGAGAAGAAATGGCTGGATTATATGATGCCTCTATATTTAACTTTTTGAGGAACTGCCAAACTGTTTTCCAAAGTGGCTATATCATTTTACACTCTTACCAGCAATGTATGAGGGTTCCAATTTCTCCATATTCTCACCAACACTTGTTATTGTGTCTTTTTAATATAGCTATCCTGGAGGTTGTAAAGTGGTATTCATTGTGGTTTTGATTTACATTTGCCACTGATTACTAATGTTAAGAAAACACTTTTTTAAAGTGGTAGTTTTATCTCTGAAGCCATATGCTTCTTTTAATTATGGACTTCTTTAATTCTTTTAAACTGGACTTAATTATTCTTAACAAAAGAGAATTAAGCAGTAATGAAAGTGGACCTGAGCCTTCACTGAACTAAATTACATCTTCTTGGGATTGAGATAACAAAGGGAACACCGAGGTTGTCAGATAGGTACTTTAAGACCAGGAAAAGTGGAATCTAAACAGTTCAGATAAAAGATTTGCATGAGACTTTTAAGAGGAATATAGCTTGTGTATGATGGAAATTTTTAAGAAATTTAATTTTTCATATATAATGATAATCCCCTGTGGAGTGAATATGAGGATGTATATCAAGAAACATGTCCACCTACACAAGGAGCTCATATCTACAAAAGAACTGTACGATACGTACAAGGAATACCATTAATGAAAGGCAAGTATGGAAGATGATAATGAGATTTTAAGAATAATATCAAGAAAGCTAAATCTTAAAGATTTGTAAGATGTTCTAAAGACAAAGGGATTTTCAAAAACTTTATTCAGAGTAAGGCTCACTGATTAGGGAAAGATGGTATGATATAAAGGAAGAGAGAAAAAGAGAGAGGGAAGGAGAGAAAGAGAGAAGAAGGGAAAGAGGAAAGGAGGAAAAATACAATTGCTGAACCTCTTTTTTTTTTTTAACCTCTGTCTTTTCCAGCAGATAATATAGATTTCAGATGTAAAGGGCAGAACGTACATTAGGGGACACATGAAGCCCAAGATAAGTGAGCTGTCAGTTCCAGGTTTCCAGACACAGATGAATTATAGTCCCCAAAGTTTATCTTTTGTTCACAAGATCATGTTCATACTTCTGAACCTATTGTTAAAGAACTGCTACAATCTTGCCCCCATTTTATTAGTCTATATAAGTTACTGCCTTTGGTGGCAAGATTTGAGTTTCAAACTTCCTTACCTTGAAAAGTGGAAAAGATATTCTATATCTATGTGTGGAAATAAAAAGAAGCTCTGTGTCTGGATCTCCCAGGAGCCCAGAAAAAGCTCAGTGACTCAGCTCTATGGGAAGAACAAGAAATATGGCATAGTCTCACCTCTACAGGTGAAAACTGGATGTCACCCAGTAGCAGGGGCAGCTCAAACAGCCACATTATCTGGTCATCTCAGAGCAGGGGACCAAGGATCTCTGTAGTATTTCAGCATGACTATGATTCAGCTTCCTTTTCACCTTCCTCTCTGCTTTCTATGTTTTCTCTTCTCTGCAACCAGCCATCCATATCCCTGTCTCTGCAGTTCAAATCCCCAGAGAAACAATCTCAGTTGACCCAGCATATTGCCACTGTCCCTGTTTAGACAGAAGTTTTAGGCCAAGATACCTCAGAAGTCACTGGCTATATATTAAGGGGCTTCTCTCATGGGATATGTTAATATTTTTACTTCTGATTTCATAAGCTGTGGCCACGCATTTGGCAAGTCACATGGTGCCACCAGAGTCACTCATGTATAAGAAACTATTTCAGACTGCTCCCAGTAGGGGCTGTGGCTATGACTGGTATCTCAGTGGGCTTGTCTGCTTCATGGGCCAAATTTGTCATCTAATGCTTCCCAGTATAAACCCTCAACTCTTACTAGTCTAGCTTCACTTACTTTCAAACATCAGATTTGCTCATTCATTCACTCATTCATTTATTCATTCAACATTGATGTCCCAATGAATGAGATATAACACTTACCTTTTAGGAGTTCGTGGTCTAATGAAGGAGACATGAATAACTCAATGGGAAACATGCTAAAACAGAGGGATGTATGTGGTACTATGAGAACACTAGGAAGGGCATCCCCCCTTGTCTTGTGGGAAGGAAAGGAGATGAAAGAGAGCCCTGTGCATTGAAAGTTAGGATGAGCAAAAGCCCTCATCACAGCAGATGGGGCATGTGTCACTCAATGTGCCTGCAGTGTAAGGGCAGGAAGCATGGTGGGGGCAGGGCTACTGCAAAGGTAGGTGGAGCCCCATGGGGAGGGGGCTTATCTACACTGCTCAATTACTGTCTCTCTGCTCCACCAGGCCCCATGCATACTTGGAATACTCTTGGTCACAAACCATTTGCTTTATTGACTCTGAATCACCTCTGATAGACTTGCCCTGGTATGGCCGCTGCCACCAGCTGGCTGTATAACCCTGTCTCGTAGGTAGAGTCGCCTTATAAGAGCAGAGAATATAAGAGCAGAGAAAAGGCTTTCCTATAAAAATTGATTTTTTAATTATAGCAGCAAAATTATTGTTTTAAGTAAATATAAAACTTAAGAAAATTGTTTTCAAAAAAAAAAATACATGCAATAAGATGAAAGTCCTTAGAATGCCAGATATCTTTTCTTAACCAATTCCCAGTGTTGCTATCTGCCTTTTCATGACTGAGACGATGGTCTGCTGTCCTCACACCCACCTCCTTTCCTTCACACCCAAGCTCCTCTGGCCCCTTGTCTCACAGCCTGGGCACCAGCCTGCTGGCCTGAGATGGGGGACTCAGACATGCTGGGTGAGCTGCTGGGGAGCTGGAGCCCTGATCTCCCTGGCCATGGGACAGGCATAGCCCTCTGCTTGCCTCTGAGAAGCCCTCCCTGTCTGGCACTTCTTGGGAGGGTCAGTCTCTCATAGGAGGCACTGTGGAGGGACCTGGGAGGGGGCAGCGAGGATGATAGAAGAAAGAAAAATCTCTTCTGTCTTTTCTGCACTTGTTCCAGTGGCTTTTCTGGCTTCATTTCCCTTAGTTATCTAGGTTATAGCATAAGCCAAACCTTGGACCTACTTTCCTCCAGTCCAAAAGATAATTTTTCTTCTTAGAATATTTATGTATTTATTCATTTATTTTTTTCCTTTTATTTTATCATATTATGGGGGTACAAATATTATTAGGGTTACATATATTGCCCCTGCCATTCCTCTCCCTGCCCCCCGCTTTACCAAAAACATCAAGCGTGTCAAACTCCCAGGTGGTGCACATCGCACCTATTTTGTAAGTATATATCCTTCCCCTCCTCCCCCCTCCCATCTGCCCACCACCTGATAAAAGCTTTTTTTTTTTCTTAGAATATTTAAAGATTCTTTTCTTTCCCTGGTAGGTTTTAGAGTTGGGAAATCCAAACTTATGAAAAGGAATGAGCAGCTGACTGCTCGTTGAGTATCTCTCATTCCCATGTCTCACCCAGCTTAAGTGCCACCTCCCTGCCAGACCTTTCCTACTCATGCCAGTCCACCTTCGTTTTCTCCTGTTTTAAAATTCCTGCAGTGTTAACTATACATTCTTCTCATTTTGACATTCAATTACATAATGCCCTGAGTTATTTAACTACTGTGTGTGAAATGAACATCTTTTTTTTCTTTTGTTTACCCCCCAAGCCATCCACACAGCCCTCTGCACAGTGCTATGGACAGCGTAGGCACTGAACAAACTTGCTAGAAACGAAGTTAACCCCAGTTCACATCAGAGTTCCACCTTACTGACTCTGTAATAGACACTGGCTTCATCAGCCCCTTTATCCCTCTCTCTAATGGAAATTGAAGACAAGATCCCGGTGGTGAGAGGGACAGAGTTTACTCTTGAATTTGTTAATTAGATATCTTTAGATCCTGGCGTGTGTCAACTTACATGACATTCAGAGCCTACTTCAGGCTGGTACAGTGAGGGGACAGAACCAGGAACTAAGGGTCAGAGGCAGACAGGCTCTGTCACTTACTGGTGGTTTGAACTTGGACCACCATAAGCCTCTCCAGGCCTCAGTTTTTTCATCTGTAGCTCAAAGAGACCTGCACCACCTCCCTCCACCTACTTTCTAAGGATGCTTAGACTCAGATGAGTCTCAGATACATTAACATACTCTGTAAAATGGTAAAGCACTATATTAATGTAAGGGATTCTTATGTCGATAATAATAATAATAATGGTTAACATTTATGGCTTATTGAGTTCTCACTGTGTGCCAGGCACTGCTCTGAGCATTCTACAGTATCAACTCATTTAATACAACAACTCTATGCTGTAGTTTCAGTCTGCCCTCCGTGTCTGTAGCTGTTACATCCATGGATTCAACCAACTGCAGATCAAAAACACACACAAAAAAAAGGATGATGTGTCCCTGCCGAACCTGTATAGACTTTTTTATTCCTGTATTATTCCCTAAATCATACAGTATAACAACTATTTACATTGTATTAGGCAGTATAAGTAATACAGAGATGATTTAAAGTATACAGGAGGATGTTCATAAGTTACATGCAAATGCTACACCATGTTATATAAGGGACTTGAGCATCTGTATATTTTTGGTATCTATGGGGGGGGTGCGGAACCAATCTGCCACCAGTATTGGTGTAATACCAAGGGACAATTGTGCTATTAAGATCCCTATTTTGCAGATGAAGGAACTGAGGCACAGAGGATTTAAATAATTTGCTCAAGATCTTGCAGCTAGTAGACAGAGCTGGGGTGGGTGCAAGCCCAGGCAGTCAGCTATGAGGTGTCTGGGGCTGCTGTGAAGAGGGAACGGGGAGTGGGGTGAAGGGGCATGAGAGCAAATGTAATCCAGTAACGTAAGACCATCTTTTGGGGCAGCAAACAAAGGAGAAGGTGAAGCTTCTGATTCAGCTGGCTGACAGCTTTGTGGAAAAAGGCCACATTCATGCCACGGAGATAAGGAAATGGGTGACCACGGTAGACAAGCACTACAGAGACTTCTCCTTGAGGATGGGGAAGTACCGGTACTCCCTAGAGAAGGCCCTGGGAGTCAACACAGAGGTAGGTATGAGGTGCTGCCCACTGGGACGTCTGCCCTTCTCATGTCCCTCAGGACCACTGCCTACTCGCCATAGCAGGAAAACGTGTTTGCAGAGCAGTCCTTCCAAGCTGGGGACTACTCAGCACTTGCCTTAGGTGGTTTTCCTAGTGAGGGAGGGCACCTTGCTGATCGATTAACCTCCAGCCAAGTGATTAGTGCTCTAAATATTGCAAACTTGGCTGCCCTTGAGTGAGGCCTGTGGCTACAGAACAGAGTTTTTCTCTGTGTAGTTAACCGTTGACTTTGAGGACTAAACCCTTTATCTTGGCTTCATCAGTACCATCTTCTACCCAATTATGTTAATCAGCAAATGACTAGAGTCCCCAGGATGTATAGTAGTGCTCTTTCAAGAATTAGGGGTGCAATTTGTACAGGGGCTATGTGACGTTTCAACTGAAAAGAGACGCTATTTGCTATGCAGCAAGAGGAGACTGACTTTTAATCTCTTTTTTATAATAGGGGTCAGTGACCTTTGAATTAAGAGCTAAATACAGCCTGGCAATTTAATCCTAGGATTTCTAGTTCTTAAATCTTTAAATAGGCTCATGCTCTGAAGCAGAGCAGCCTAGAGAGTGAAGTGGTCAAACCTCCTAAAGTTGAAGCAGTTAATGTCTCCCCTAGGCTTTATTCTGTGAGTTGTTTTCTAGGGGATTTTATCATATATAAATACCAAATGGTGGTTGAATTAAGCAGGGATGAGCAATTAGAAAGTTCATTGTTCTGTCATTTAGCTTTCTATTTCCAATGGAAATTTCTTGTTTAAATAAAAATATTTTGTTTGATTAGAGGGTTTTTTAATGTCTTTGTATGTTTTTCACGTCTACTTTAAATGGCTAAGAATCCGTCTTAGACTCATTTATGTATCAGTGTTTAGATTTAATCAGGACCGAAGGCCTTGGGGAAATAGACACAACTATGTTCGTTGTTTTTTCTTGCTGTGGATATTAGCCCTAAACATTTGACTTGAACATTTTATATCTTAAAGAAATGATCCCGTAAAAAAAGAGTGCTGTGGGTGAGTCCCCACAGATCTTGTCATCTGTTTCTGTTATATCTCGCTCTGCTTTTCTTCTTTACCACCTTCCCCAACTTGGTGAGTCCCTTTCCCAAAGCATCTCCCAGGTGACCTCTGTGACCCCTCTATGTGTAGGACAACAAGGACCTGGAGCTGGACATCATCCCAGCAAGCCTTTCAGATCGCGAGGTCAAGCTGCGGGATGCCAACCACGAAGTCAACGAGGAGAAGCGGAAGTCAGCCCGGAAGAAAGAGTATGTGCTGTGGCACTGCCACCCTGGCTAGCCGGCTCCTCGTGCCTGTGCCCGGTCTTCACTGCCACCCGTCCCTTCTGATGGCATACTGTGTCCTCATGACCTACAGCCGGTGGGATGGACAGGCACAATGCCTCCGTTCAGAATATGGGTTTCCTCTGAAGACTTTTAAGTCTCTCTAATCTGTCCTTCACCTAAGTTCTCCAGTAACTTCCTAGAAAAAAAACTCTTCCTTTTAGATAATCAGATTTCATTTCACAATCTCACAACTCGACATGAACCAAACCAAATATTTTTTCTCCTCCTCCAAATTTAGCTCTCCCTCCTGACTTCCTAATTCCCATCAACAGTGGGGCTGTGCTTCTGATTTCCAAGCCTTGAAGCTGCAAAGTGAGCTTCCACTTATCCCTTCGTCCCTTATGTCAGTCCTATCTTCAGAGATTTTCATGTCTCTGCCACTTTTTCCATCCCCACAGACAGGAGTCTTGTCAGCATAAGGCCAGATCGCGTGTAGAAACTCACCCCCAGTTCCTCCCCGTTTACCCACACAGTGGTGCCAGGTGGACTTTCTGAAGGAGCATTTTATCATTGCTAGTACCAGTGCTCTTCCTCTTGCCACTGCCTACATTTTTTATGTGCTAAACACTATATAAAGTGCCTTACACACATTTTCTCTTTTTATCTTCTCATCACTTCTCCCAGGTAGCTACGATTATTCTCATTTTACATATGGGAAATAAGACTTAGAAAAGCTGAGCAATGACTAGGTGTGGTAGCTCATGCCTGTAATCCCAGCACTCTGGGAGGCCGAGGCGTGAGGATCGCTTGACCTCAGGAGCTCTAGACCAGCCTGAGCAAGAGCGAGACCCCATCTCTACTAAAAGTAGAAATATTAGCCAGGCATTGTGGTGCACACCTGTAATCCCAACTACTGGGGAGACTGAGGCAGGAGGATTGCTTGAGCACAGGTGTTTGAAATTGCAGTGAGCTATGATCACACCACTGCACTCTACACAGGGTGACAGAGTGAGACTCTGTCTCAAATAAAAAAACAAAAAGCTGAGCAACTTTCCCCAAACCACACAAACAGTGAATAATGAAGCCAGAATTTAAACCAGCTCTGACTCTTCACCACTCTGTGCTTCATTTCCATTATGTCTCTCACCAGCTGCATATTTTAAACGATTGTATATTCCCCTAGAATAATGATCAGACTCCTCAAGGTGCTGTCATTTGGCCTCACCTAAGTCAATCTTATTTCAAATTACTTTCCAGTTCAAATGACACACTTCAGACAGATCACTTTCACTGACTCCTTTCACATCCAAGATTAAGTTGTATACAATTTTTCATGCAGTATTCTTGGCCTAGAACTCTCTCCTTTTTGTTTGTTCTTTTCTGTTCCCTGTTCTTTCCTTTTGTTCTTTTTCTGTTCAGTTTTATTTTGCCCATCTCTAAGTCCTATTGATTCTTTAAAATCCAGCTCATATCTTATGCTGCTCTGAATCCTTTATTCACAATCTACACTGTCATTAGTGCTTCCTTTTCTGAACTCCTATACTTCTTTTCTATACTGATTCCTATTTCACTTACTCAGCTGATTCCTGAGCGTATCTCTCTAACTAGATTAAAAACTCCATGAGGACAAGGAGTATTTTATAGTCTCTTTTATGAACCAAGAGACTAGGAGAGCAATGAATATAGTTGATCAAGAAAAGCTTATAGAATATAATTGAGTATATAAATTGAAGCCTTGGGGGAAGGACAGAATGTTATCTAGAATCACGTAACAACTAATAATTGTAACACCAGTTTCCTTACCTGAACTGAAGGGCTGTACCCCTGGGCCAAAGAAAGTAAGGGAGGTGTTCCAGTGCCAGGAGGCCCCTCTCTTGCCTCAGTCTAGGTATTCAGGTTTCAGGGTTTTTGCCTGGATTTCAAAAGGAAGGAAAATTTACCCAGGAACTGGTCCAGAGAGTGAATTGTAGAGGTTGGGACATAAAGCTGCCACTAAGTTACTCCCAGGTCAGCAATAGCCCGTGAGGAGATGGGGCAGTGGAAATTTGGCAAGAAGAGAGTGGAGGATGCTGGGGCCCAGACATTTTGGAAGAATCTGAAGTTGCCTGAGATTTTCGTGAATGAGACTCTGTTTTCTCAGAATAAGAATGTATAGGGGGCAGAATCCACTTAGAGGGCCAGGACCAATGTATCATTGCATTCCTGCTCTGTTCTCCGATTATCTCAGCTCCAGTCTCAGAAATTCCTGACTGCAGGTAGGCAAAATCCATTTTGCTTCTTTGGTAGGTAGTCATCTAACCACAGTTCACACTAGTCAGGAACTATCGGGCACTGGACAGCAGAAACAATAGACTGTGCTACTCTTACAACCCATTTCTTGACACTGTGCTTCCTTTATGTTGTGGTTACAAAGTCCACACATGTGCAGAGATTTCAGGAGGACCTAATGAAGAATATTTTGACAGACTCTGTTTGGGTAATGCTAAAAAAAAAATAGCATGTCCTAAGATTAAGAAGCTCTATGTGGTTTATTTTATCAAAATGAAGTAGAACCACAGGTGCCTTGGAGCTGAAGAAACTAAAGCTGGTCTGTGAAGTCAGAGCTTGTTTCATATGAGGAGTGTATTAGTTTGTTAGGGCTGCTGTAACAAAGAACGACAAACTGGGTGGTTTAAACAACAGAAATATGTTGTCTCACAGTTCTAGAGACTAGGAGTCTAAAATCAAGGTATCAGTGGGATAGATTCCTTCTGAGGGCTGTGGGGAAGGAAGCTTCTCTCCTTAGCTTGTGTTAATAGATGGCTATTTGCACGTTCATACAGTATTCTTCCAGAGTACATGCCTGCATCAAACTTCCCCCTTCCATGAGGAAACCAATCTTACTGGATTAGGGGCCCACCCACTCCAGTGCTATAGTGACCCTATTTCCAAATAAAGTGAAAACCTGAGGTTCTGGAGGTTAGGACTTCCACATATGAATTCAGAGGGCACATAATTCAACCCATGGCAGGGAGGGGAATGAGGAGACTATACTGGCCAAATCCTCCTCCTGGGCTCTATCTGGAACACTACATAGCCAGAAGAGCTTAATGGATGGGCAGAAAACAATAGAAAATGGGGTAGGGGGTAGAATCAAAAAATTATGAAGAAAGGTAAAACTGCAGGAAGCATATGGGAGAAAAATAATACCAGAAAACCTAAGGCAATAAAATTAAAGACAAATTTTCAAAGCCCCATCAGTTTATGGTCCTTCTGATCTCCCTTCTTTTCTAGTTTTATAGCAACCTACAGATCACTTAATCACTGAGTGTTTACTGAGCACCTACCATGCTCTAGGCACTTTGTTTACATGGTCTTGTTTCATCCTTGCAGCAATCCCGTGTGATCAGCTATTTTATAAGTAAAGCGTCTGAGGCTTACAGAAGCAAGTCCTACCTCTGGCAAATGACAGAGTTGTAATTCAGTCCGTGTTTGTCTGACTCCAAAGTTCATGCATTTACTACTCTATCAATAGAGTAAGAATGAAAGATAGTGGCTAATTAACTTCTGCAAAAGGGAATTTTTTGAACCAATACTTTAATTTTAATAGAAAGGCTACTGCCAGAATAATGTATATTACTTTAAGGAAAATCCTACCAAGATAAAGTTCCAGGAAAAGGTGATTATCATTTAATATTTCCTGTGAAATTTTCAATAGGAGACACTTTGGGGACAAAATTTCTCCAAATTGTTATATGATAGAACACATGGAAATAAGGGTCCTTATCATGGACTAAATGAAAAACTGATACAGAAAAGGAAAGATATTAAAAATATCTCCTCATTAAACTTTGTGGAAAAACTGTACAAATATACAGTTTTTCTAAATTAGATATTATATGCCAGCTAACAAGCACCATTTTAAATAACAATTTATGGAGGAAAAAAATGAAGTATTTACACAACAGCAAAGCCACGCATCATAAGTTTAACAACTGCCCAAGTACATTGTGTTATTTAGGGGCAAAGAAGGAAAGAAACCTTCTCTTCAAAGATGTATATAGTACAAGCTTCTCTATATTGGGGACTGAGGAGCAGTCCTATGACATTAATTTATACTGTGCTTATGGCTGCATATTCAGCTTTGTGCATGCACATCCATTTGTGATGAGACAAGTCCTATTAAAAATAGTATCTAGACCAGGCACAGTGGCTCATACTTATAATCCCAGCATTTTGGGAGGCCAAAGCGAAAGGATCACTTAAGGCCAGAAGTTCAAAACCAGCCTGGGCAACATTGTGAGACCTCGTCTCTACAAAAACAAAAATTGTTTTTTTAATTAGCTGGGCATGGTGGTGCATGCTGTAGTCCTAACTATACAGGAGGCTTAGGTGGGAGGATTTCTGGCTTCAGCCCAAAAATTTCAGGCTGCAGTGAAGTATCATTATGCCACTGCACTCTAGCCTGGGCAACAGAGACCCTGTGTCCCTGTCTCTTTAAAAAAAAAAAAAAAATGTCTAAGTATAATAGTTAATGGGATAATCTAGGTTAGAGGTCAGCAAATGCAGGCCAAATTTGACCTACCAACTATTTTATACAGTCTATAAATTAAAAATTATTTTTTATATTTTTAAATTATTGAAAAAATCACAAGGATAATATTTCATAACATGAAAATTAGATAAAATTCAAATTTCAGTTGTCATAGTTTCATTGGAACTTATTTTTTACACATTGTCTATGGCTCCTTTCACACTATAGCAGCATAGTTGAATGGTTGTGACAGAGACTGAATGGCCCACAAATATTTACTATCTGGCTCTTTACAGAAAAAGTTGCTAACGCCTGATCTTAGTAGTTTATTAGACATCTTCTCCTAGCTTTGAAACCTCATTTAACTTATGGAACTGAGAACTGTTTGGTATAACTATACAAACTCTGCTGAACAGAAATCATCATTCTGGGAGCTATAGGAGACTCAGGCTATCTAGCTGGTGAGATAGAACATGGGTGGTCCTGCACACTGGTGCTCACATGCATGCAAACACGTGCAATTGAGAACACATGCACGTCAGCACAGGATCACAAAATGGTAGAACTGGGGTGGAAAGGGATAGAGGATATGGAACTAGCTGAGCACAGACATGCTGAAGGGGATACAGGGCAAAGAATTAGGGTAGTGTGACTCACAGGAAGATGCTCAAGGAGTTTTGAAGAAAGAAAAAAACACGGTAAGGCAGAAAAATAGGCCATTTGATAATGTCATAAATGCTGGGGTAGGAAAGTGAAGTTTGATGGAAGGGAAGCATCATCTCTATAACCAACTAAAAGCCTATTTGTTTCCTTCTAGGTTCATTATGGCCGAACTACTCCAAACAGAGAAGGCTTATGTAAGGGACTTGCATGAGTGCTTGGAGGTGAGTCTTGGCAGTAATCAGTTCACAGCCACATTAGGGAAATAACATCCTTGTCAGCGACAGGTCCTCCAGAAGAGCTTAGTGCTGGTGGTCTTCTCCCAGAGAGGAATGAATAAAAAAGCCAACCAGAGGAAACCTTCTCCCAGCATCAACAGTAATTATATGGGAATTTAAAGTGCTTTAGAAAAGAAAGTTTCAACTTTTCTCAGGCTGAAGCTAGACCTAGGGGAAAAAAGTATATAAGGCTCTTAAATTCAAAATCAAAACCATGACACAGTCTGTGAACTTAAATTGGGTCTGAAAATCTGCATTTCCCTCCCTCCCAACTCACACGCACTCAAATCCACACACATTGAATGAATAGCAGGAAGACTGGGGGCTTTATGTTCTTGCTAATGTTCAGGATAATGAAATATTTAGGTTCTATTTCTTTCTGTTCTGTTTATTATTTAATCCCTCACTTTTTAAACTCTACACGCATTCCCAGTCTGAGTTTTGTCACACAAGTTGGAGGGCCTGCTTATTTTGTCTGTATTTCATGTGGCAGGACTTGCCAGTGGTGACACTGTCACTGTCTTGCAGACCTACCTGTGGGAGATGACCAGTGGTGTGGAGGAGATCCCGCCTGGGATCCTCAACAAAGAGCATATCATCTTTGGCAACATCCAGGAGATCTACGATTTCCATAACAAGTAGGTTGGTGGAGGGTTTCAGAGGAGCATCCTTGGGGCCACAAATACCAAATAACAGGGATTCCCAAAAAGTGCATCACAGTGGATTGGTACATCTTACCTGGTAAAGTCTTACCTGGTCAATTTTCTAAGGCAGCTGCTACCAGACTTTTTCTTACCCACCCTTCTTTCTCTGCAATTGTCCAAAATCCCTGGTGGAGCGTGAGTCAAGTATTCAGCATTGTTCCTCCCCAGTGCCCCTCAAGGGACCTAACTAGCAGCTACCCAAGCAGAACGATGACCAGGCTTTGAGGAAACAGAAGTAGCTTCTCCTCATTAAACCTTGTGGGAAATCCTGACATTCATCTGAGGCTAACCATTCTACCTTGTGCTCTTTGGGTTTCAGATTCCACTGGAGTTTTCTCTCAACCCAAACATTTCCTCCATCCCCACCTTGTTTTGTCTAGAGGGGAGAACATTAACTGATACTCTGTCTTGTTGAAATGAGTAGAACCATAAAGGCCTAAAACCTCACAACTTATTTTTTCCACCTTCCAACTTGATTTAAAAATCTTTGTCACGGTGTACAAAACAATGCATTCTGTTATTAACAGAGGGTCAGCAAGAAAATTGGTGTGATCAGTTATGTAACCAACCAGTGGGAATAACTCTGTTTCTAAAATATAAGTAGAGGGACTCACATATTGGCATAAAGTCCTAGAGCTCTCTCAGGGCCCTGCTGCAGAGAAGCACTAAGTTGGGTGTGTTGAGGCTTTTGCTGAGTCGAGTAGGCATGCTAGAGGTAGAAGAGCCAGCTCCAAGAGTTCCCGAGGAGGCCATGTGTGTAGACTGATGTAGCATCTACCGCAAGGCAGAACTCTGTAACAGTACTGTCCAGTGGAGCATGATGGAAATGTTCTACACCTGAACTGCCCTGTACAGTAACCACTAGATTATGTGTGGTTATTGAACACTTGAAATGTGGCTAGTGCTACTGAGGAACTGAATTTTTAATTTTATTTAATTTTAATAAATTTAGATTTAGATTTAGATAGCCACAAGTGGCAAGTGGTTGCCGTATTGGACATCCCAGCTCTAGACAATGAAACAGGTATGGCCCTGTGCTGAAAATGACCAAGAGGGAGGCAAGAGTTGGGTGTAAAAAGATGCTGAGCTCTAAAAGGTCTAAAGTTGAAATAAGGGGTGGAGGGTCATTCTCTCTTGTCATCTCCTGATGTTTAATCCCTGTATGTCATCAAATGGCATCACTTTAAAGAGAACATAAAATATATAGATTATAACACATTAACCTTGTCAGATTATTAAAGCATGAAGCTTTAGTAGGAAAATACTCCTGACTTTCTGGAATACTTAATAAAAGTTACCAGCCTTCTTTTTAATCACAATTTTAACTTTCCCCTTTTGGTTTGGAAATTTCCAGACATCAAAATATTCTATTCTCATGTTTATCGTTCATAAGATCCCAGTAAAACCATTCCTGACCATTGATCCCAAATTCCATCATCTGAGTCCAGCTCAGTGTCATCCTATCTTCCGCAGGATATCTCTGCAAAGACACCAGAGTGGCAAACGTTGAGTTCTGCTACTTTACTTTCCTGGCTTATGGTCTTTGGGATTTCGTCAAGTCCCACTTACCCCATATTCTCATCAAATTAACTAAATGTGGAAGCCTAGAGATCACAGCATGCACTTCCTGTGAGCCCTGCTTTTGCCAAATCAATTTATAAGGGGAAATAATATTCATTTCAAAGTTGACCAATCATGACAAAATATTTAGCTTAACCATGCCTCTTATTCTGGTTTCATGATACCGCTCTAGTAAGTTTTTTATTTTTATTTTATTATTTATTTCTATGTATTTAGGAGTTTCAGTGCAATTTTGTTATGTGGATATACTATGTGTCAGTGAGGTCTGGGCTTTTCGTGTACCCATCACCCGAATAGTGTACATTGTACCCAATAGATAATTTTCATCCGTCACCCCCCTCCCACCCTCCTACCTTTGGAGTCCTCACCATCTGTTATTCTACTCTGCATGACCATGCATACCCCTAGATTAGTTCCCACTAAGTGAGAACATGCAGTATTTGATTTTCGTTTCTGGGTTACTTCATTTAGGATAATGGCCTCAAGTTCTATCCAAGTTGCTGCAAAAGACATTATTTCATTCTTTTTTATGGCTGAATATCATTCCATGGTTTATATATCACATTTTCTTTATCCACTCAGTTGGTTTTTTAAATAACTGAAAATCTACCTGTGAATGACAATATATAATTCTAAGAAATCCTTTAAAAAAATAAAATAAATCAAATTAAACCATCTCAAATGCTGCATTCTGGAGGAATAAGGTTAGTATTGAGAACTCAGCTACTCAGTGCATGTTACCTATTTAGGACATTATGAAGAAACAAGGAGGAAATAAAAACTATCCTCTGAGCATCCAAAAGAGATGTCACAAAGATTATGTTCTTGTGTTTTCATAGAAACAACTTTCCTCCCTAACAACCACTTTACCTCTTACCTATGTAGTTTCCAAGCAATTTAGGAATCAAGAACTTGAGTGACTCAAGATCTTATGAACTTGAGTGATCAGCCTAAAGTAAGACCTGGCAGGAAAGAAGACAGGCAAACTGCAAAAAATATAAAAAATTTTTTAAAAAATAGGCAATTGGACCAAAAAATTCTTAGTGGACCAAAATATTCAGTATTGATGCAAACCATCCTCTACCCCACTATAGAGCCCAACACAGCCACTGTATTACAGTATAGCATCATAATTGATGTTAATAATAGCTCTGAATCATTAATATGTTCTGCACTAAGAGCAAGGAACTCCATGATGCATTAGAAGGCTATCGACTAAAAAAATTAATGATTTAAATTATCTATAGTTTAAGGGAACATCTAAGAAAATCAAGCTTTATATTAATTTTCTAGAGGATCTGGAGGCTAAGGCTTTACTGTGCTTATACTGTGTGCTTTCAATTTATGTCATACAAATTTTGATTAATGGAGAAAACACACCTCTAAAATCTCTAATAAAGAGATAAAGTGGCAATTAAGCCAACTTAGAAAATGCAGAAACTATAAATTCCATAAGGGACATGTCTTTCACTGCACAACCAAGTGCCTGGCACATAGTAAACTTTCAGTAAACATTTGTTGGGTAGATGGATGGATGGATGAACAAATTCTTAATAGAAATAAAATTACAACTTAAAGATTTATGGCTAATGCCATTCAAGTCATAATTCAATCTTTTGTTTGTGAAAGTCTCAAGATGGGGAAAACCGTTAGGTATAATTGTTTCCCATCCCTGTCAGAACCTTATAGAACAGCTAAATAATTGAATTTCTGAATGAAAGAGTTTCTTGGAAGCTTCTTAATGGATGGATATATAATTGTCCTAACACTCTATTCTTCAGTAATACTTCTCTGAAATGGTCAATTTTTAATCTGGAAAAATCAAAGGATTTTTTTCAATCCCATTGTTTGTATATTTCCAGAGTTGCAACTAAGTACTATCTAACAGAGAAACACATTCCTCTCATTTCTAGTTCGCAGCTCAGTGTTATCTGCCTATACACCAGAGAGAGTATGGAAGAGGGAGAGGGAGGGAGGAATATTGGGAGACCGAGACTGAGAGAGAGGGATTGAGATTGACACTACTTTGCTAACCTAATTAACTAAGTCACTAGGAAATTAGCACCTAGACCAAGGGTTTTATGATGAATACGTTACATATCTCAGATCAATAATATTGAACTGTGTGTGTGTGCATGTATGTGTATCTCAAGTACCTTTATCTATATAGATATTGAATGAAGAAATTCCCAAGCACCAAAATTTCTTTAAAGAACAATTCAATGTGTAGAATTTGATACCTCCAAGCAGTGGTTTTAACACAAATGGAGTGTTGAAGTGGAATGATACTGTTTTGCCCTCCCACTCTCCCCATTTTGAATTATGTCTCTCTCCTATAGAACTAAATATAAAGATCATGACATTTACTTATCTACACAAGACTTAGACACATTTCTATTGTGTTTTGCTGAGCACTCAGAAGAGTCTATTCCATAAATAGGTCTCCCAAACAGTAAGAGTTTTGTTAATGCAGTCTCCCCACTTTGCCCGACTATACTTGTAATTTAAGAAAATAATTTTTCAGCTTGCCTTGATTGTTAGATTTGCAGCTTTGGTAAGGACAGCTTTTTGCTTAAAATGCTCATCACCTTTAGTTAAAACTTCTTTCATTTGAGTTATTTGGAGATATGGTTGTATGTGAGTCTGAGCAATAACATTTTTATAAAATATGTGCTGTCAGAGCTCAGAGCATCCTCTTAATCATCAAGTTCAACCCTCTTCACTTACAGATAAGGAGATTGAGACCCATAAAGGAGCCAATGTGTGACACACACACCCCATTCCTTAAAGATCAGACATTAGATTCCAGGGATTGTCTCTCCCCTTCCCCTACTCCATAGGCCACCAACTGTGGCTGCCAAATCTGGCTAGTTCGATTCATAGCTAAGCAGCTTCTACATGGATCCCCAAATTTGACAAACATTTCCACCCATTTCTCTCACTGCTATGTCATTCTGGGGCTACACCCCTGAAATAAATCCATTTTCAGCAAGGGTTGGAAAGGCAAGTTGGGGGCCAAGAACCAAGGCTAGATGTTCCTCCTGCACACTCCCTCCCTCCAGGCCTGGCTGGAAGCTATCAGATTGGACCTGGGCCACTTGCCACTGTTCTCCTAGCCTGGAGTTCTCCGCCCAAGGCTGAGGGAGCAGAGCCAGAGCTGGGTGGGACTGAGCTGGGGGTCCTGGCCAGGCCAGCATGGCCAGGAGCAGTGGGTGGTAAGCAACAGGGGTAACAAGGTAGGGGAGAGGAGGATGCTCCAGTGAGCAACGGGACCACAGCCACATCTCAGTCATCCTCCCAGAGCACCTCCTTATGGGCTAGACCTGTGGTAGTGTAGAGATGAAGCTGGTACC